TTTCGGCCATATTCGGATACTTTGCGTAGTGAGGGGGTCACAGTGCAGCCGATGAAGAGGAATCGTGCGCAAAACAGGCCCTGTTTTAGAGCGGCTAGTTTTAGAAACGCCCATCTACAGGTTTAGGGTACTGTGATAAATTAACTTTCTTTCCTAGCGACGAGTCTTTTTTCTGATGAGCGCGTGGTAACTGTCTTTCAATTATACATGGCTCCCGGTGGAGGAGGTCGGGCCGGCCCGGCCCGTTTCAATCTTGCTTTGGCCCGGCCAAGAATTTGCACCAACCTAAGGTCATACCTTGCTTTTAATTTATGCCAAACTTTAGGCGTATGTAAATATGGAGGCACGTTTAACTCAACCCTCTAAGATTTATAGATTTCTTTTCGTGCTAAAGATTCGTTATGGAAAGGGATGTTTTAAGACTTGTGTTTGGTCGATGGCCATAGAAGTCGAGGATTTGCAATCCCATTGACGTTGGATGCTCGGTTAATCCCTCATAACAAGGCATAAAATTCATTTGTATGCTTACGGCAGTTTTAATGGAAGACTTTCGAAGCCCGGCTTAAAAGGCCTGAGGAATGAAATTTCTGTCTCTTTCTTGTGTAATGCAGAAAAGGATGCGACGAGGTGCGTGGAGTTCCCTAAACATTTTTAGAACTGAAAAATAATCAGCACTGAAAAAATATTCGTAAAAAAATTAGGCTTAAAATACCCGGATTAAAATCTTCTTTGAACTGCGCATTTCGCAGAATTGGAAAACAAAATGTCGTAAAAACTGTTTCTAATCATGTTGTTTTTTGTCATTCGTCCAAAGTCTTCAATCAACATTGTTTTCAAATCCGCCGTTTTCGATTAAGTATTTTTTATAAACAGTTGGTCAAGACGAAAGGGAAATAATCGTGAAGACTTAGTTTTGCGTTTTCGAAGTCTTGGGTCAGTGGAGACGAATACAATTTGCGGACCCACGGGACCTATCTCAACTTTTGGGCGTTGTCGGAAGATTGGTTTGTTAACGGGTCTGAAACGCGTCGTGAATTTTCTTAAACGTTTTGTCTTTTACTAGTCGAGCCATAAAGTCCTGGCACACCCAGTGCGTTTTCGTTCTTCTCGCGGTACTTCGTACCCCGCCAAATTTTTTATCGCGCGACACCTCGCCGCAACGCCGAATGAATGCGCCCGCACGGTGCGAAAACCCTTCAAGACTTTTTCGGCCCGCTTAGCATCAGTTTGTCGGGAAAATAACGGCGGATTGTCGCGCCTCAGAATCGCCCATCATCGCTTTGCGGCGGCTACCGAAGCTGGAGATTTGGTGCGCGACTGCAGCCTTTTTTTACATTCTGCTGCGGCGACCCGTCGTTATGACAAGTAAGCCGATGAATTAAGGGATGAGCTTGTCAGCAACGCTGCTGTGAACGTCATCGACGCTTCATCTATGCGATAACGTAGTCTGTTGATATACATATATGGGTTCTAAAAGCTAAAAATGGCAGCTTGTACAAATTTTCAGTTTTTTCCACCGTATCCCCCGCGGATCCCTTTTACATGGTTCATTTTCTGTCCTAGGTCCGGCTCACATTTCTGTCGGAAATAATTGGCGGCTTTTTATTCGCTATAGGCGTCCAATTTCTGGCCCAAAGGGATCTGCTCCAAATTGCAATCGTTTTTTGGTCGGATGAGGACGGCTGTTCACTAGTGCGATTTTTTGAAATTCGGCAAAAGCCCGATAACAGGCGGGAAATTACACAAATAAACTGCAAGGTCCGAAAATAAAATGGAAGTCGACTTAAAAGGCGGGACAGGTAAAACCAATTCTCTTGTTTTTGGACACTGTTGAAGTTTTGTCCTCGATATTTTTTGCCCTTGAAATTGATGATGCTTCCGGTCTAGACTGCAGAGCTTTCCTTTCGTATACAATACAACTCTTATGCTCTCGCTCTTTATTTTTTGTGATATTATGTATGGTTATGATAACCCATAATTTCCCTTAATGTTTATTCAGCTGAGATCGGTAATTTCAGCGCAAAGCTATCCCAAATTCTTTTTGCACTGCACCCGCTCAAAGTTTGTCGACTCAGCTGGCTGTTGCTGTCGGCACAGAGACACAAGCGGCCTATGTGTGGACCTAAAGAATGGACCTCGCGATGTCCCATCGTTGTCTTAATAAGACTACGTCATTTGGCAGAAACCTCGCCCTTTGCATAATTGCCGTCATCCGCTAAATCTTTCTCGCCTCAAATTTCTTTTCAGATATATTCGTAATGGTGTGTCACGCGATTCAGGTAACATGAAATTAAGGGGCTTGAATTTTTATGGAGCAAATTGGATTATAATTCCAATCGACGTACAATTTGCAAAGTAAAATTTCGGTTCTGTTGAACTGTTTGCAGTTATAATAAGCTCTAATCAACGTGAAATGGCCCTCAAGAATGTTTTCGGGTTTTTAAGGCGTTAGAAATGCGTTTCAGGTGTTTTAAGTGTTAAACAAAAGTGTGGAGCGCACGTAATTTATCAATATATTATAAATGGAAAATGTAGGAAAGGATTTTCCTGCATTATGTTGCAGTGTCCACGTAAAATAATTTTTGTGCCATGGCTTTGATTTCTTTTTGCTCAAGCTTTATACATGTTATCATAGTAAGCATGTCTATTTGCGAAACAAAATGTTTTTGGAAATTTTTGAAAACATTTTCTCATGTAAGGGTGTGGCTAGTTTAAAGGTTTTGCTGTGCAGCTAAACCCCGTATTCCTGTCGAACCAGATGCCCAAGTCTAATGGCCAAATGATTGGGTTTAAAGACCGAGTGTGGGGTTAGCTGTGCATTTGCAATGCGAAATCTCCCTGATTTTTTCAGATCAGTTTAACTGTTCCAAATATGGCTGCCCAAGAGTCACTGTAGTTTTATGGCGAACCTGGTAGGCTTATACAGAATTCGTAGGCCAAAATAACTCTCCGAACAAAGAAACCCTCCTATGACGTGTAATTGTTTTATTTTCTTGCAATTCGTTGAATAGAATTCCACTATAGGTCAAAAAATTTTGTAAACCTCTCTTAGAAGGTTAGGAAGTTGGATGGTCCTTTGAATAAAACGCTGATTTGCTAGTAATATGTTCCCAACGTGTCGGTGAAGCTCGGGGTTACCGATGGTTCCGAGTTTCATCGATTTTTTGAACACAAGGTTTGAAAACCACGAAAATCTGATAATCACGTTTCAAATCTCATCTCATAGGATCGTTCTGTGTTGGTGTAAATGAATCTTTTATATGTCCACACATGACATATAAATTTTGTTTGATTTACCGCCTTTTGTAAGCAGATACTTCCGCAGTTTGATAGTTGTAATAGTTTAATGCGCTTTTAGAAGCGACTGGTATTTTCCGTTGTTTGTTTTTTGTTTCTTTCTTTTATTTTTCAACCCCGCTTAATGGATGTATAAGTATAATAGCTAAGTCTTCGAATACCAAAAAGTAACGAAGACGCGATTTTGCAATTTTTTTTGAAAGCCAACAATATCTCTTGACCCCACTAATTTCAATATTGGGCTAACTTTTTCACTATCGAGTTAGCTGCGTTTTGACTAAACCGCTTCTTTCAGCACCCGGCATTTTTCATTTCGTCAAAGAAAAAGTTTTTTCGTGAAAATAATTTCCATACGGTAGCCTCCGATTAACATGCATGCCGGCGATTCTTTTGTGTTTCGCTGGCCATGCTTGTGGGCTCTTCGACTCGGTTGGGCATCCTCCATTTTTTGTCGAATTTCCGGTTAACTTCAAGTGACTTTTTTCGCGTTAGTTGAGACAAAGTGTATGTATATTTATAATAGAAATATGTTTTTAAGAAACTCGGATTGCAATTATTGAGTTACCAAGTAGAACAAATTTTAAGCAAAAAGATATATGACATCACTGTTTTCATCAAACACTTGAGTTTTCTCGTGTTTTTTCGAAGCTGCATTGAATTTTCCAAATTAATACAAATACAATGGGCCCTGTAAACAAAAGGAAAAGGTCTTTGGCCAAAAGGAACCTCCGTAAAATGACTTCGCTATATTGTATCGAACAATGGGTTTGATCCCTCCAGATTTGTTGCACTGGCTTGTGTATTTGACTGCAGGTTTAATTGTGTTGTAAGGAAAGTCTCTAGTAGGCATGCCGAGTGTATTGCCCTCCTTTTTTTACCTTCCATCAGTCACTTCCACTTACTGGCTTAATGGGCGGCACGTCCAAAACCTGCGGCCATATTCTTTTTGATTTCCCGCCGTTCTTTTTTCTTGCAATTTTCGAGAACGCCGAACAGCGTTCAAGTGCACGAGGGACTTAAATTTTTAATCGTTTCTTCTCCACGTAAACTTGTTTTTTCTAGTCTTATCCGTTGGGATATCCGACAAAGGCCGACTAATCAGTGCTGAGTAACACGGAAAAATTTTATTGAGCTGGCTTTTAAATCCTTTATTCTGGTGAGCCATGTATGGTCTTTCGATTTTTTTTGTTTTTACCGTTCTTTTTGACGTTGGCATCGAAAGCCCACAGAAGTTGAACAAAATTTTTCTGGACTTGCCTTTCAACCCCAGGCTAAAAATCGAAGACGCATTTATAACCGCAATTTTCAGAGTGATATGATATAAGACTTTCGAGGAACAGAAAGTATTTTTGCGACAACATGCGCCATATGAAAAGTTTTTTACCGCGTCCTCCCCTATTATTTGCCTACGGGAATACAATGTGTTATAAAGTAAAGTCCCTTTATAGTAATCCTCATTTTCTTTTCTTCAAAACATAAACAGACGGTCCCTCATTTCTTCCTGCTTCTTACAGCCGTTTTTCCAAATTTTTACCGCGGATTTACAATTAATTTCCATCTCCAAATATGTTTTCCCTTGAAAAATATTTCATTTTCATTTGTAGGGTTTTCATAAAAAGGCGTCCCACTGTTTAGCGCCAATTAAACAGTCCCTCGTCAATCTGTGGCGCGACTCCTTCTCCCGGCACGACCCGTTCGAAAGGATGGGCAGTGCGAACAGCCATCATCCCGAGCCGCCCATGGCCATGGAGCAGCCCCTGCCCTACCCGGATATGAACGTCATTTTTAAGGGAATTCCAAAGATGATGCAGGTAATCGGAATTCACACTTTGGGGTTAAGAAGTCCCCAGCTTTTGCGTTAAGAACTCCCCAACCAACGGCAATGTCTCTAAAATTTCAGGTGGCTGACGACATGCATGTTCTTACCGAAGCAATCACAGATATGCGAAACATGACACTTGGAATGGTCCTAATCAGCATGGTGGGAATGTGCATCTTCTTGGTTCTAAAATACATGCAGACACGCCGAAACTCTCTACGACGAAGGCGAAGACTTCAAAACGTAAGGAAGCAGTTTTCACATGTATTTTTTTCAAAGGTGGTTTGAGTTCAATTCAGGATTTAAATTTCCATTGACGAAAACTTTTTGCACAAAGTGTCGGTCAAGCAACAGTTTTGTCCTAGCCTTGTATTAAATTGCTTTCCGAAAATCACAATAACTTCATTCCCCCGAATACAAAGACAGCAACGTTGCATTACAAGTTTTTGCGCACGTAACAGTTTGCTTTGATTTAAAAATTTAAAGTTCAAGATCTGGTTTAAGACTTTACTGTTAAGCGAATGACGGATTGATGATCATTCTGAAAACGTATTGAAAAAATTAATTGGCTTCAGATGAAACCCATTTTAAAAACGTAAAACTTCCTTTCAGCAGACCGACTCCGAACGCAGCTCACTAACCCGACCTTACCGGCAGTATAACCAAAAGCCGATGGAATGGACCCATCACAAGGTGGATATGGACAAGCTTCTTGAGAACAACTCCTCCCAAAGCAGCACGCATACCCCGCCAGGCGCTTTGCCGAAGGCTCGAGTAGGTGACTTCACGGATCGTGTGACTCCGCCACTTGCTAACGGCACCGCACCCCTCAAAGTAGGCCTTCAGCATACGACGTCCGTCGGAACTAACCAAAGTCTGCTGGGCTCGGTTTGAAGAGACATGCTGAGTACTTGAATGCTGCAGATTACAATGATGTTATACCTGGCAACAACTAGTCTCGGGTTGTCTGTTGTTCTAATCCTAACATTTTGGAATTTTCTTGATAATATAATTATAATATCTTGGTACCTTTAGAGATTAATATTTTTTACAGTGTTTACACACGTATTTTTCAGGAGTCTGAAGTTGAGTTTTTTTTTGTATAATAGTGTGCGTACTCTCCAAATCTCCCTTACCAAAACAAGTGCTCTCTATTATGAAGGCTGTCCATTCGGGTATAGTTGTCTTGTCCTGTTGTGTACAGTATGTAATATTTTTATCTTTCTACTTAAAATTTGGCTTAACGGCGAATGAAATTGTATAATTGGACAAGTAAATAATAATATTTATGTTGGCTAACCATGAATTAATAACAAAGTGTTTGACTTTATCAATGGTTAATAAAGTTTGTCTGCACTAAATTTTTTATATTTTTTATGCATTCAAATACAAAATTACGTTCTAACTTTGAGGTGTTTGACTAAAACATATGTGCTTCTAGTGCAAATCGTATTTGGAAATAGCAATTTTAAAACAAAAATTTCCAGCGCCTTGATCCAGTGAAACTAATGATCGACGAGGTGCCTTATGTGGACTCGAGTGAAATCCATTATCCCCGCTAAAACGAACGAATATTTGTTTGTACAAAACTGTCGTTGACATCTTTTTTAAATTTTTTTAAAACTCTATCATGTTGAATAAAAGAATGAATTTTAAAAACATTCTTAATATCGTTTTACCCGTCCGTGGAGCACGCAATATTCCAGTAGGGTGGTTAGGAACGCTGACCTAGTTTCGCTTGGATAATAAGACTGATCGCCTGGTCGGCGTAAAATGAAAACGAAATCAATCCAGACTTTCCTTCAATAAAAGAAACACTTTCGATACGACAGGGAAATAATGCCGTTGAATTGTGGGCGGAGCATCAAAAAACGGCTCCCATTCAGCAGAAACGCGGCACCGGAGCCGCTATCATCTCAAGAGTTCCGGAAATTCGCGATATATAAAGGTTGCACTGATCAAACGGGTTTCGGAGGTTTTACGCTTTGTTTTCGGACGGGTTAATGCTTTCAAAACGCGATTAACTTTTGCTCTTTGTCGCTTTAAAGCAACCAATATTGAAATATTAAACTGTTGTGGCCTACATGCCGAAACACGAATTTTACTACCATTTTGCGTTGGCGTCAACAGCGATCAGTGCACTGACGACAATCGCCCTTCTTGTTACCGTCCCACTTCTTTGTTCCCGCGCGAACGACCATCGGTTGTTCATCGAGCAGAAGGCCAACCTCTTTCGAGATGAGACAAATAAAATATGGGCCGAACTCCATCCCGGCCATAAAGTCGTTGTTCATGATCCCAAGACCGGCGCCCCAGCGAACGAGCCGATTTTCTTCTCGCTTCGGCAGAAGCGTTCTCCATGGGATCGACAGATCTGTCAAGGCTGTAATCCTCTGAACTGTCCAGCCGGTATGCCCGGAAACCCTGGTCCGCCTGGCGAAGACGGAAGCCCAGGAGACGCTGGAATGCCTGGACGTTCCGGTGAAGACGGACTGGACGTGGAATTGGCACCAGAAGATGATTTACCTTGCGTTATTTGCCCCGGAGGCCCACCGGGAATGAGAGGACTGCAAGGAGAACGTGGGCAGCCAGGTCTTGCAGGCCCGACTGGTCAGGCAGGCCCCGAAGGACATCCTGGGCCCGAAGGACCCCCAGGATTTCCAGGAAAGCCTGGCCCAGCCGGTTTTAAGGGTCACGAAGGACCACCAGGACCATCCGGAGAAACAATCATCGCCGGAGTCGGCATTAAAGGACCCAAGGGCCCGCCCGGTCCGGCCGGACCAAAAGGGCCTAATGGAACACCTGGAAAGGCCAGCCGTGAAGTTGGAGTTCCGGGCCAGGCAGGACCACAAGGACCAATGGGACCACCTGGTGCTGAAGGAAAGACCGGCGAAGAAGGACCCTTTGGACCGCCAGGAGAGCCTGGACAACCTGCTAGTTATTGTGCTAGTGACTGTGGAGTTGCTCAAATATTAGCCCCGTCAATAAACCACGCAAAGCTGGCGGCCGAGCAAGATGTGTCAAGCAATGCAGGATCCATTGGGAGTTATGACAGCAGTGTTGTCGAGAGTATTGGCCACAACAATGCGTATGGAGGCGCTGGATATTACTCTTCAGGGGGATACGGAAGGAAATAAATGAAATTGCTCTAAATGAATAAATTCAAAGACCAATTGTATGCAAATGTGGGTAAACAGTTGACGATAAATAAAAGTTTTTTACTTAATTAAATACAAAACTCTCATTCGGTATGTTTAATTGTCACTTCTTTTCCTCCTTCAGGGCCGCCAACGATTGATGACGCGACTTGCGTCTGGCCTAAAAAAGAATTATAGAAATCAAAGATTCGTATCCTCTACGGATTAAACCGTTAAATTTCCAACCGATAAACATACTATTTTTCATTGATATCCTCCTTCTTGGGCTTGTGGCTGTGATTTTTGCCGGATCAGCCGAGATATTCAGCGATCAGCGGGGAAAGGGTTCACAGAGAAACCACTTTATGGTTAATTTGCCATTCGAGCGAAAAAGATTGTTCTTTTTTTTGCGGGAACATGACATGCGAAATAGACACCAGACTTAAAATCTAAAAATCTCGGTCGTTTCTGTAAAGCGCGAGATAGTAGTCTCGCATACTACCCGGAAAGAAAAATTTAACATTTTTGCCATCTCTCATAAAAATCCGCCGTCGAACTTGTAGTATTCCCCACCCAAATTTTAAAATCCTCCCGGAAAGAAGTTTATAGACTAAATCTTACAAATCGGGTACCTGTTTTTTCTCCTGGTTTTTATTCAGAGTGAGGCCCGACCCAAAAGCTTCTCGGCGCTTTTTTCTTTGGCTTTGATCCGCGATGAGCCGGACTTAAAAAAGAGGGGCCCAGAACTTTATTAAATGTCTCTTTTACCTTTCATATGGCTTTTCCTGCCGAATGTTGTTCGCTCAATACTAGAGAACAGTGTGGAGAATGGCGTGGTCAGGTAAATTAAATCTGAGTTGAATTGAGTTAGGTCTTAGTTCAAAAATATTTTAACCTAATACAAAAAGTTTCCGGATCGATTAAAAGAAAAAAATATTAAGAAAATTCCTCATAGTCTATTCATATTTCTTTTGTCCATTTTCTGAAGCACATTTTTTGGTTCACAAACTTCTCCAATGCATATTTCAGCACCCCAAAGCCAAATATCATTCTGTTCATTGCGGACGACCAGGATTCTCTCCTCGGATCAATGGAATTTATGCCTAAGACCTTAAAATTTATGAGGAAACGAGGCGCTGAGTTCGAAAATGCGTTTGTCTCCACACCAATGTGTTGTCCCAGTCGGACGTCGATTTTGACCGGCCTGTACGCACATAACCACAATGTTATGACCAACAATTTGAACTGCGCTGGAGCGGAATGGAGGTAGTTCTCGGGGATTCGCGCAAGTCGTTGATTAATATTGGGCTTGATTTTCAGTCGGAGTTTGCGACGAACATGTCGATCTTACCCTGTTATTCAATTTCAGAGACAAGTTTGAAAAAGAAACTTTTGCTGTTTATCTGAGGGACGTCGGTTATCAAACTGCTTATTTTGGCAAATATCTTAACGAATACGACGGGTCGTATGTTCCTCCGGGATGGGATGAATGGGCCGGACTAATTCGCAACAGCCGCTTCTACAATTATACTGTAAACAGAAATAATGTAAAGGAAAAGCACGGTTTTGATTATTACGACGACTATTTCACGGATCTTGTTACGAACAGCACGACTGACTTTTTGGAGAAAAGAATTCTACAAGAGCAAACAAAGCCCTTCCTGATTGTCGTGTCATATCCGGCGCCACATGGGCCAGAGGATCCAGCTCCGCAATATGCAAAAATGTTCGAAAACGTCGACACTCATAGGTAAGTACTCTACGCGTCCCTCCACACACAGCAAAACAAGCTTTTTTAAGCAATAGAGTCGCATGTTACTGTGCACAAATTTCAGGACGGCGGCTTGGAATTACGCTCCCAACCCAGATAAACAATGGATCTTACAACGGACGGGAAAAATGGAATCTACACACGTCTTCTTCACCGATTTGCTTCACCGTCGAAGGCTGCAAACACTGCAAAGCGTCGACGATTCTGTCCAGAGAGTAAGGATCACAACTCTTCAACAACTTTTTTTAGATTATGAACTTTCTCCGCGCAACAAACCAACTACAGAACACTTTCACGATGTACACCAGCGATCATGGCTACCATCTTGGACAATTCGGCTTAATCAAAGGAAAGAGTATGCCGTACGAATTCGACATCAAAGTCCCGTTTTTTATTAGAGGACCTGGTATTCACAAAGGAATTATGTAAGTTACGCTTCCCGAATGTGTCAAAGCATGCCCAGAAAACGCGAGCCAATTCTCAACATCGACATAGCTCCGACCATATTGCACATTGCCGGAATTGACATTCCAGAGAAAATGAACGGAGAATCCATCTTGAAAGCGTTCGAAGCAGAGTTCAAGTGGCGCCAAACTGTGCTCATCGAAAGGGGGTCAGTTCTTTGGTCGTATGCGCTAATCATACCGTTTAAGAAAAATGCCAAGGCTGAAGAAGGTTGGAGAACGCTTTAGGAAGCAAAAAGAGCATTTCAACAAGTACTTAATCATCTCCAGGCAGTGTTCCAAAGCCAAATATAGCGCGCCTTGCAAAGCAAGACAGGTAAGGAGATTTTTACAATTTTTTTCTTTGCAAAAGTGTTAAAACTTACATTAGTTTGCTGGTTTGGTTTTAAAAAAATCCAGCATCGTAAACTTCAAGTAACCAAAATTCAGGACTGGGCGTGTGTAAAAAATCCCCTTAACCGATGGCGAATAATAAAGTGTCGGCAGCGCGAAGACGACGAAAAATGTCAATGTCGAGGAAAACGAGATATTCCGGTGTTTGGTGAAGATTCTAAGGACCAGCTGGACAGATGGGAAGATGAATTTCTGGCCGAAAGCTTTGACGAAATACTTGCGGAGTCCGGCGAATGGTTTCAAGGAACGTTGCAAGTTGATGACGAAGCCAGAAATCGAATGAAAAGAGAGATCAATGAAATTCGATTGGAAGTGGTCGATGAACATGTTGATGAAAACTCAGGACAAGAAGACAAATTGTGTGCGTTCAAATCGAAAAAATGGTGTAGTCTTCCGGCAAACATCACTCGAAGACAATGGGATCGGCGAAAATACCGGGTTGACCTAAAAATCCAAAAACTCAAGGACCGAATACTTGCGATCAAGGTACGGTACTAATTTTTCTGCTTCATAAAGAAGATACTGAAAATAGTCGTCTTAAGCGAAAATGACTTCATATGTAGTACATGAATATACAACACTCTAAGCAACGTTTCTAGGATATCCGAAAGGCCCTCCGACAAAGTAAACCTGAAGAGGATTCTAAAGGAATGTCTGACGTAAATGCCGAAGAGAAATGCGATTGCGAACAAACTCGGATGAAACATCGGTTTAAGTAAGAATCTTGCTTTATAAAAAATCGTCTTTTAGGAATCCGTTTTTTGCGGCAAACAATCGGACTCTCAAAAATTGCACGTTGCCTCAGATGAACTGTTTTGAGCACTCGGATTCGCATTGGAAAACCGAACCGAAGTGGCCTTCCGAACTGGGATCATTTTGTTTTTGTCAGAATTCCAACAACAACACTTATTGGTGTCTGCGGACGGTGAATGAGACCCACAACTTTTTGTACTGCGAGTTTGTAACAGGATTTCTGAGCTTCTACGACTTTAATGTGGATCCGAACCAGGTTAGTTAAGGAAGAGACCAATATCACCAACTTAGCAGGTTCATTCGGTCAGTATTACTGTGCGCTAGCCTTCCACTTGCTTATTTATTATAAGTGAAATGTGTGGATCTTTATGCTAGCAATTGACAGCCGTTTCTAACCAAATTTTTTCCAGCTGACAAACGCCATCTTCGAGTTAGAAAACCACCGTTTATCGCAGCTCAACGATCAACTGCTCAACTTAAAATCGTGTTCGAATCAAGAAGAATGCGAGAATTACAGTGCGGCCGATTGGGATCAAAGAATTAAACCGTTAGAATCCCCAAATCCGAGTAATAACAGCGAAATGAAATCTGTTTAATCTTGAAAAAACGTAATTGCTTAACTTAAACCTGGTAATACATGACTACAAAAAAATATGTCTGTGTCGCTGAAGAAAGAATCGGACTCTAATATCCTTTAAAGGAATCATTGTGCATACATCTACAACTTAATCCCGACATTGGTTCAAACTTTTTCGAAAGTAGATAGCCGTTGCGCTTTGCTGCCGGCTGAAAAAAAAGCAGATGAATGCGTTCTGCCCTTTTGTGAAATGAATCAAATACCTATTTTTAAAAAAAATTTCTTGGTGGCCGATATTTACGTGGGCGTATCAAATGTATACATAAGATGAAGGCGTAACATTCAGAGTGCTCTCATACATAGAGCAAAGACAGATCTTTTAAGCCATGCCACTTTTGGCCACTGTGAAAGTAGTCTAAATTTATAATACAACCCTGATAAATTGTCGACTCTGGATATTCCGCGGCAAAGAACAAGCCCTTGGGCGCGTCTTTTAGGATGAATGGGTGATACCATTTTGTGCAGAATTTAATTCTCTACAACACTTCTACAAACGACAAGAGTACATGGCTTCTCCGTCGAGTTATACATCAAAACTCTGCAGAAGGAAACCCATCTATACCAGACACTTTTTGCAAACACTGACCAAGCTCCAACCTCACCACAGTTTCAAATGCTTTCACAAACGTTTTGCTACCATATATCTGAAATCATTTTGTAAGCGATATTGATATCACATTTGTGCGGCGTTAATTTTTCGTCAAGTTATCTGTCTATTCAACCAATCGATTAAACACAATAAAAGTAAATTGTTTTTATCACTCGGATTTCGTATCTTTGCGGGGGCTTAAAAAGTATCCAAAAGGAAGATGGATGACTGGTCTTCTGAAGCCCATTGAAACCCGCGATCCACTCGTTGAAGGTTTGCTTGGATAAACATTGGATTGAGCTGAGACCGTTCAATATTTTTTTTGAATTCGAGAGTTTTCATTGTTTTTTCGTCTGTATATTTCCAGAATTTAATCGACGCATTACATATTGCATACTGTTTCGGTTAGACCACTTCTTGAAGACAATATTTTAAAAACGCGTTTCTATACAGGATTCCTTATTCATCTCAAAATTTATTCTTGTTTTATTTAAAATTTTGAATCGGTTTTTCTAACTGTCGATGGCTACACAAAATTGTTTCGAAAATGTTCTTCACTCTCTTTTGCCGTCCTCTGGCACATGTAAGCTTCATTTTGCGAATTTATTTAACGCAATTTCCTGACCGAAACCCTTTTCCGAGGGCCCGAAAAAGGTGGATTCCCTTCTTTTCTTCCCCGACACTTTGAAAACCCTGAGGGCAAGAAAAGTAGAAAAAGTTAAGGTTCCGATATTTATAACGGCTTTGCGGCCAGAAGCTTTGTGTCGATATTATATTATAATACCTTGCGCTAAATCGTCTTACTGTTAAAAAACGTTATCCATATTTTGCAAAAATTGGTTAGTTATAACTAAACGCTTGTTCTGCTTCCCGGCAAACTTTTCATTTGGTGTATCCATGAATTTTTAAAGGTCGCAGTGACTGTTCTTTTCGTTTCCCAGAAACCCGCTCGTTTGTGACAATTGCCCCTGTAAACATTGGTCGTTATACAGTTTGAATCTTCCTTTTTGCTTTACGAAGAACAGGCTTGCATTCGGGGCGCTTTTTGTTGTTGTTATGACAACCGTCGATGTTCGCGTAATCGAAAAATAAGAGAGTTCAAGTCGCAATGTCAAAGCTTCCAATGCGGGCCTATTCCGGTTTTTAATAGGACCGAAACTTTGTATAACGACTTCGGAAATATTTAGTGAAATCTATTTATAACAAACAGACTTTCGTCACCGTTGCTATTCGAACCTTTTGTGCTCAAATCGGTTCCATACGACGGCGAAAAATTCCAGAACAAGACAACAGCATTCGGTATATTTATAACGCACTTGAGTGCGATTTCTTGAAATCTCATTTATATTCAAGATGTTTTTTTTTGCTTTTTGCGCGGACTCAATTTCAAACGCAAAAGACGATTGATTTTCTCGCCTCCGGGCTCCAAACCGAAGAATGGTTTTTTCGAAGCAGGAGAGTGGGGGTTGACGAGAATTCCAGTCGAAGGATGGAAGGGATTGTTTAATTTGCTGTTATTTTATTTTTTTGCAAATTTTGTTTTAATTTTTTGTATCATTTTATAACTACGGCTATAAATTTCTTACAGTCTTTTTTTCGTATTTCCGTAAAATTTGGAAACACGCTCTAATGACTCACAATACGGCAAATAAATTCCATTATAGTGTCATTTACTCATATGTTGTTTCTGCACCAAAACCGCTCATATTTTCGGGGAACGTTACTTTTATTTACCTCAAAACATCTTGAGCACATTTTTGATTCGTTTCGAGAGGATTGCCATGTGGTTTTGAAACATGTCATCGCACAAGAAAAAAGTCCGCGGTTTATTTTGCCTCCAACTGTTTAATTTAAATAACGGGGGTTTGTCCGTTCCATACATTCGATTGTGGCTCTACGTGCCCTGCACGTAATAAAAAAACTTTTGTTAAGCCAATTTGCTTTAAAACCCGGATCAACGTCTTGTAGACTTCACACTTTTAAACGATCAATACCGTTTGGACAGCAAAACTAACAAATTTGAATAAACACTCTTTCTCGAGACTCCAAAATTGGTTCCGCTTAACGGAAAGAAAAAGGATTATGGGAAATAATGAGGCGAACAAAAGGCGGCCTGCTGAAACAGATGCGGATTAGCTCTCCCGTTTTAGGATGCTTCTAATGTCTGAAGTTTTATATGGTCTATGACGTGAATCTACCGTTTTTGGACTTGAAGTCAATTATCCTAGACTTGATCAATTTTGGAGCTCGTCGCTGGCTTTGGGCGAATTTCCGCTTATAGTTTAAACCCGGCAACTTACAGGCGAGACATTTGTCGAATCTTATGGCTTCTGTCAGCAAAGCTTTTTAAATCATAACAGCTTTTTTCGAAGAAAAAACTGCTTTAAAGTTATTGGGACAGGCTGAAAGGGGCAATACAGCTACTTTTGAATCGCGCTTTTTACGGCGTAGAAAACGAAATGTCTAAAAAATCTTTCAATATTGCAAACAGTAAATTATTAATTAGTATGCACGTCAAATGCGTACAGCAGACAAAGCGCTTTAATTTCAGAAGTCGCTCACTGTTCAGAAACCGATCTCTTCCTCGCAGCACCCCACTAAAATTTCCGACTATTTCCTTAAGAACGTTTGCGTTTACCTCTATTCTCCTATACAATTTACCAAATTCATTTCCCGGTCACGTTTGAGGAACGTCACGGTCTGTCCATCTTACAAAAGTGAACGGACGCTATAAGCTAAGAGAAGGAAAATAAGTCTATTAGAGACGTGGCCGCTTCCTCTACTATGAAACCGCGCTCAAGCAGTAAAACAAACAAATTGACCCATTCTTGACGCCGGAAAGTCTATAGTTTTGACCGAAAAAAACAATCTCCTTTTGCCGAAAGTTGGATGGCCGTTGGTTTTGTGAGGAGCGTCACAAAGAGCCGCGTTCTGCAATAGCATTTGGAATTTTCAATAATGGATTCGCGGCACCGTTTCTTGCCAAAAATTTGCTTTTTTTCTTTAAGATGTACCAAATAATGACGAACTTAGGTTATTGCTTCTCCTAGATTCGTCAATTCTTCTAAATGAGATGTACGATTGCAAAAAACACTCGTGCGAATCCGGGATAATTTAATTAAGAATGCCCAGGAAAGCGTGGATTGGAAATCCCTTGGGAAGACAGAAAATTTAAGATTCGTCGTGATGACCTTGATCAATTTTTTACGCGAGAAGGATAATGCCGTTCTGGTTGCATCGGCCTTCAAAAACATCTCAATAGGGCTTTATTTCAAAACTTTTAAAATTTTTACAATGTTTTGTATCTTTTTTGCGTGGTTATTAAACTCCTCACTCGTGGTTTCTATTTCATTTTGCAGACGTTGATAGTAATCTAAGGTAAAGTTGTCAACATGACCAGCCTTCCGATAACTTCTTTTGGTGGATACGCGGCTAATTAATAGGGGAATCTTCCCGTAGGTATGGGGGCGCAAGACGCGAAAAGGGATGCGCTGCGACCTCGACTCCTGCTCGTTCATTTACCTGCGCTTCTTCCTTATTTCCCCACACACAACCGCGATATTCGATTTCTTATTGGATATGTTTTTTTCGGACTTACAACAAGATTTTGGACAAAGAATTAAAAATATATTTGACATATGATAATTACTCTAGATTCCCTGAGTATTGTCGAATATTTTTTTCGTATTGTGTTAAACAATTGGGGATTTAAAGAACTCTTCGCAAGCATAAAATTTAGTTTACATCTGTGTTTTTATTTTCTTCTGCATTCGTTGAACCCTATCCATTGAATATCAGTCTGTCGGAAAAATAACGGCGGATCGTCGCAGCAAAATGTCTCGCCTCGCCGCTATCGCGCACCAAATCCCAAGTCGCGGCTTGCAGTCGCAAAGCGATGATGAGTGACTCCGAGGCGCGACGATCCGCCGTTATTTTCCCGACAGACTGATACAAAAATATGGCCCACTTTTGCATCTCACAGGGGAAGTACTCCAAGTGCGACGCTCAGATTTTGATAAAACATGACACAAAACTAGAATATTTTTTTAGTATTCGCGACATTCCTTGTTCGCACTTTGCAGGAATGGTCTACATTTTTAGGCCGAAACTTGTGGTACTTTCGTTGTGAATTAATCTCTTGTCGTCCATAATCAATATAACAGACTATTTCTATTGCCCATAAGTTATTTGCTTTTTAATTTGTATCCTTTTTGTATACCCCATTGGAAGGATCGCTTTTGTCTTTTGATTACTATCCTTTATTAATAAAAGAAAAAAATAACACACGGACCCTTCAGATGTCTTTTGGCGCGTCAGCCGAAGCGAATCCCGAATTGACGGCAGTCGGATTCAGTGCGCGACCTCTTTCCTTCATCCCCCTAATTCGCTTGTCTATTGACCGCCGAAGGCCGTTTTTGCTGTTATGTAGGTGGTTGTGTGGTGTGACAGTGACAATGTCTCACACAAACCACAGCCTTCTTACAACGTACAAGTTTGCCGACGTGGTTTTTCTTTTTGATTCGCGATATGTCAGCATTTCTCGATGCTCAATATACTAAAATTTGCTTATAGTTAATGGTGGCCTTACATCTTTACGAGTAACCTGCAAGAAATGGTCTTAGGAAAAGCTGAATACGGTAAGCGTTTTCTATCCGTCGAATGGCCTATTCGCTAATATAATAAAATGCTGATCATCAAAACAATTTTTTTGAGTAGATAGAGCAATTTCAAAGTATGCTCAATTAACTTAAGCTTTGTAAAAGTATGTTTCCAAACCTCCTGTCCAAACATAACCGTTTTCGATTCCACATTTCCCCCATAGAGGCACTAAAACAATGAATTCTTAAACATGTTTGAGTTTATTCAACTTTTTTCATGCCTATTCGTGAAGAAGACTCTATTTTTTTACATTTCCGGAATTTACCCATTATTTGAGCTGGTTTATTTACGCTACTGGTATTTCCGAAGTAAAATAAAGAAAATTACGGGGCAAATTATTGAGGTTTCAAAGCTGTTGAGTTGGCCTTCCCACGAAAACAATCAATGCCGGATTCCTTGGCATTTTGTTTTAGATGGAGGAATTCCGAAAAAATAAAAACTTTTCGATCGCAGACCTGAAAACTCTTCGAAAAGGAGCTCGAAGAGCGTTTGTCTCCCCATTTTTTACGCTCCAACCTCGAAACCACCGAATCCCTAGAGATAAATCCGTTTTTGTGGTTGACACTTGTCTTTTGCGTGTCGCCCATGAGTAAACCCCTCTGTTTTTCATTTGTTGAGAAGGTTTGGTGGCTGAAAAGCCTATATCTATTTTTGGATTTACCTGTTTTTGAATGAACGAGAAAAAATTAGGTACCAGAAGGAACCTTTGGTCATGTACAATATAATTTTTTGTCTGTTTTTTTGTTATGCAAAGCGTTGGGAAACTATATTGTCAAGAAATATGTTATTATTTCAGAGACCGACAGCGAGACCTACCCACCATCGGATGTGGAACAGTGCGCCGCTGAGGGAACGGAAGAAATTGCATCGATTTTGAGCAAAATGGAAGCTCTAAATCGCTTGAATGAGTCCGATGAACGCAGTGTGACATCGAAGAAGTCGCATGATTCCTCGACGGGTTCGCAGCACCAGTCCTCACCTGTTCACGAAACGAAAAAACCGGATGATGAAGACGAAAACGTGGATTTGTGGACGGTTTGGGGAAACTTGATAAAATCTTGGGAATATGAGATGAAGAAGAGGCCAAATTGTGTGAAAGTGAGTATTCTTCTTTTCTTTTAAAGTTTTTAGATGTCCCAGGTAAAAATATGCCGACTTATTTTGCCAAAAGAGACATGGGATATATTGAAATATCAAAAAGAAACATGTTTTAGGAGCTGGTTCGTCGAGGGGTTCCCCAACACTTCCGCACGATAGCATGGCAGCTTCTGGCTGGGGCGACAGTCAACAAAATACACGATCAATACACGGAGTACTTGAGGCAGAGCTCACCGTACGAAAAAGTAAGCCTTTTCTTTTCTTTGTTTCTGACTTTTAGGTTCAACGATAAAATTGGATTGTTTTTCAGATAATAATGCGTGACATCCCTCGAACATATCCGGAGCTCGATTTCTTCAAAGACGAGGGCAAGGGCCAACAGCACCTCTTCAATGTTATCAAAGCCTATAGTGTTCACGACAAAGAAGTTGGATACTGTCAAGGATCCGCCTTTATTGTCGGTCAACTTCTCCTTCAAATGCCGGAAGAAGAGGCATTTGCAGTTTTTGTGAAGCTGATGGAGAATTATCGCCTCAGAGAGCTGTATAAACCAACAATGACCGAATTGGGACTTTGCATGTTCCAATTGGAATGCCTGGTTCAAGAGCAGATGCCCGACATGTACATGCACTTTAACAATATGGGTTTTGACACGAGTATGTACGCGAGCTCTTGGTTTTTGACCTTGTTCACAACTACACTGCCGTTGGATTTGACAAATCGGATAATGGATTGGTTTTTGGTGGACGTAAGTTGATTTCTAATTGAATATCAAAATCTTCATTGGTCGCCTTTTTTGCATCAACTATGAGTCTATTCGCGATGAATTTATTACTGCAGTTTTTTACTCCGGATTTACGAAAATTAATCTCAAAAACATTACTTACCCAGTACAGTATAATTTGACGGAAAATAGAAGTCATCTTTGATGAACTGTATTGACTGCTTCGTTACAGGGAATGGATGCGATTTTTCGAATTGCTCTCGCCATCCTCCAACAAGCCCGAATCGAACTCCTACGTCTGGACATGGAAGGAATGCTCAAGGTGGGAGGACCTGATTTGAATTTTATTGCCTCTTTTCCATTTAGTTCTTCCAACGCGAAATCCGAGAACGTTATGAGAACGACCACGAGCTGCTATTCGCCGTCGCATCGCATGTTGTTCTGAACGCCAAGAAAATGAAGAGGTATTATATTCAGCATTTTGATATTACTTTCGGTGTTCATTTGAATCTTGTAATCCAATTTGATTATAGGCTCGAAAAGGATTACATGGCCAAAAGGAGCAAAGAGCAGGAAGAAGCTATTGAACTTAGGGTAAGTTTTTTGAAACTGGAGATTCGGGGTTTGATTCAAAAATTTAAGATGATAAGAAAATGAGTAATCGAGTAGATAGAAGACGACTCATTGAGTTTAAACCTGTTTTTTTCCAAATTGAGCGGGGAAATGGGAGTGAATCATTTTATAAACATTAAGATTGATATGAAAATGCTCCAAGTTGGCCGACAATTTTTATTTATTTATTCCATGTTGAGCCACGAATTTCTTATGCCCTTTTGGAGCGTTGTTTTCGTCGAGTTTGGCCAGCTCGACCGGCTATAATCGGACCTCTTGTTTTATCCCACTTTGCATTGTTGTGTCGCACTTGATGGTTGGTCGTTGTTGCGTGACCGTTTCTGATCTGAGTTGAATTTTCCCACCACTCGCAGCTTCCTCTCTTGATTTGTCGGGCGCCGGAAGTGCGAGAGAATGTCGTATTTTTGATTAAACGCGCGTTTTCGCCTTTTTTTCCTCCGGGCTTTTCGCATGAAGGTGACGAAATGAACGCGTTCTAAGGGTTTGCGACATCTGACCTCACATTCTTGCGTTTTTATTGTAAAAAACGTTGACTTTTCATCCTTGTTCGGGAATCTTTCCGCATTTTTTAATCGGGGTTCTTTTTGATCGTCTGACCTCATTGTCTTCCGTCGATGGTTCCCAAAATCGTATATTGTTTTAAGCCCCCTTAAAGGTTCCATCCTGCATTTCGGACTACTGACCGCCGGAAACACCCCACTTTTATAAATGTTTGCGTCGATCTTTCCGATAGTTGTAGTTGGTATCCGAATCCTTTGCCCGCTTAAAAAAAGTACGTTATAATAAGTATAAGGGACTTGTTTGCTCATGCATTTCCAGCCCCTCGGGGCAATCTCGATTTCATCTTTCGTCACTCTTAATACGCTGGGGTTTGCAAGTGTGGAGGGTTTGAACGGGAAAGGTTTTACTAGACTGGATAAGTATGAGATTTCCATACGTTTTGACGAGGTCTTATACAAGATTTTCTGAGTTGGAAGGTTTCGTTCAAAGAAATGCTGAGCAAGTGAAACGAGATCTCTTAGGGCCCTTTGTTTTTTACATCCTTCGGTTTATGATGTTCTAAGGACATAAATTCGTCGTGAGTTTGATTGCCCGGTTCTCACCTTGAGGCTCTTTACTCCAATTTTATCCCGCAAATCCTTCATTCTGTCCGGCCAGTAAGAAGGGAAGTTTAAAAATAAAAAAATTTGTCGGGCAGTGAATTTTGGAAAATTCGGAAAAAAGAAGGTAATGACTGAGGCGAAACGAGAGCGATCAGCTCTTTTCGTTCGGGCGGATTTGTCCGAAATCCCGATTACTTCAATCCACACATGTTTTTTTTGGGAGAATGGATAGGAATTAGTAGTCGGAGTCGCTCTTTAAATAAGGTCGGTTATTTACAGAAATTTCGTGATAAATGAACCTTTGTCGCATTAAAGGTGGACGTATAAACACATTGAAGGTGGTCGAATATTTTGACATTATAATAAAAACCCTGGGGTTACCAGTAAACTTGGAAATCCATTTTTTCGGTGTTATCAGTCATGGAGTTTCTTAGGAACTGTTTTGCCGTTATGAATTATCATGCGTCATCCGTAAGGAACGTCTTGAAACCCTCATAGAGCTCATCATGTTTGTTTGCACTGCAATCCAGCGTGGACTTATTTTTTTTTCCTTTTTGCCTAGTGATTTGGTTTGTATAATCGTATCGTCTCCGTAACAAATATTTTGCTGATTTCTTAAGATTTACTTTCATCGGCTTGTAATTCTTCTTTTTTGGGTAAACCAACGTTTTATAGGCAATTTTTGACAAACGTCCGCAATGAATCAGCTCACGTTTGTTTAATTCTTTCCTTTTTCAAAAAAAAATGGAAATTCCCAGGAATATATATAAAATAATAGAGTAGTCCTCGGGACTGGCTCGTTTATTTTTTTTAACGAACTTTTTATCATATTTTTCTTCTGAGAAGACTAAATGAGTGAAGGTGATGTTTTTTTGCCTATGACTGACTTTGATTGGCAGCTCTTGTGAAAGCTTAGCGCCAATTTCATAGTAACTTGATCCCAGTGGGTCACTGAGTAAAGGTGTGAAAGCTGAAAGCGGAAAAAGCAGCGATTAGTGGTCGACTTGAATTCTTTCAAATCTGCGGCGTCTTCTCGTGGTTGGTTAAGCCTTTCGTCCATATGGTCATATCATAAAGCGCCTTATAATTGTATCTCCATGGATTCCCCCTCCTTATTCTCGGTTGTTACGAAGATAATTAATCAAAATCCTTGTCGGTAGTTGTCCATTTCTCAATCCCAAAAAACGAATGCTCTCGGATAATGGCCAAGAGGATTGGTTTTGGGACTTTTTAGTCTGTTGGAGTCATTTTTTGACTGATGGATTACAGATCTCGCTGGACTAATTATCATTAGATTGTCTTTGCTTTGGCAAAGTCGAATGTTAAGGCCTGTTTTAACTTGACCTTTCATTATTCGACCTTTCAAGTTGTTTATTTTATTGAACGTTCTGTTTTCAACCACGGCCCCCGTCTTACTTCCTTTCTCCAAACGGAGAAGTTGACTTTGAAAAACGGTTACTTCATTTTGCGGTCTCCACGTAGTCAACTCATCAAACGGTTTTGATGTAATATGGCTTCATACAACTATGGTCGGAAAGAAATTTTGTCACCAATCGCAAACGGAACGGCGGCGACATTGGAGTTGTTAGGGTCTGTGAACAGTATCAAAGACTTGCTCTGTTTAAGCGCCCTCGTTATCAGAATTATGCAACGGTTTGCACTAAACCCGTCGGCTCAAATTACGGTTAACCTCCACGTCGTGCCTGCGGCGTTCGCCCGCCCTTCCTTTCCCATCGCGTTCCTTCTTCCCATTTTCGGTCTGATTTCGTTAGTCGTTTTTTTGTTTCGCGCGATGAAAACGTTTGTAATTAGGGATTCTTTCTTCCATTCGCCAATACATCACCCACCATCTCTACTATATTTTTCTCGACAGCTCTCGGTCAAAGGAATTTTCCAAGCGCCTTTTTCGGACCGAATATTAGCCGGTGCCGACTTGCTGATTCGAAATGGTGTTTATGGATTAATTTGGGGAATTTTTCGAAGATGAAAGTTATACAGTAGAGCTTTTTTTGTTAAAATGTCATTGGATACTTTGACGAAAATACTTTGCATTGCGCGATTTCTTTCTTCGTATTTTGTGCAACTACTCTTATCATTGCTCTAGGTTTTGAACACACAATGTCGGGGAATCAAGGTAGTTCCACTGCAGTCATGCCACAACGTCGGCCGTATTGCCTAAAACAGAGAAGAAAGCATGCTTTCGTATGGACTAAAAAGGTATTAGAAAAAATGGGTATTTGCAAAAAAAATTTTTTGTAATAGCTCCGAATATAAAAGCGATGGGTTAAATCAAAAAAATCGTAATCTAGAATGCGTTTGGCTAATTAGCGAAGTGTTTGATTCAAAACAAACTTGTTTTGTAGAAGTTTTCACCGTAGGAGTCGAAAGAGGGATTTTGTTTAAAGAACTCGATGTTACCCATCAAAATTAAGAGTGATTTATGCATTTCTGGGCAAATTTTGGTGTGGGGAAAGTCTGATATCAGTGTTAAATGTTCTAATATTTTCTTTTCCAGCGTCTGCGCACGGAGAATCGACTTCTCCGCCAACGGATCGACTACCTCGAGCACGAATCTAGCGCCCTGGCCGATCGCCTCGTCCGCGGCCAAGTAGATCTGGCCCAACAGGCCGACAACTGTCTCAGCATCTCGCACGAACTGCACGTTCTCCGCGACATCAATTCCGATGCCCACCGCCGCCTGGAAGAGGCGTACGAGACGGTCCGACAATTATCCTCCGGCAACAAGCCCGAGAATTCGATCACCGACACCGCCACACAAGTGGACGACACCTCGATGATCGAACATATCCATCAGCTTCAGCAGGAACTGATCGAAGCCCACACCAAGAAAAGTGATCTCGAAAGCGCGGTCCGCGAGCTGAAGTTACGCGTTCAGGAAGTCGAGTCCGCCAATAAACGACTCCGCGAATCCCCACCTGATGGCGGAGTGGCCTCGTTGCAAGAGGAGTTGATCAGAGTCAAGATGAGAGAAGCCGAAGCCGCCTTGTCGCTGAAGGAAATGCGACAAAGGATCGCCGAATTGGAGACCCATTGGATGGTGAGTAATTTTGACTTCGCAATTTCTACCCTTGCCTTTCTGATCTTCGGCGTCTAGCAACCAAAATATAAACTAAATTACTAAATTTGGTTAGTTATTTTCCCCGTTTCAGAGGTATCAGGAGGTCAGAGCCAAAGAAACCCAATCTCCAACCACTCCGAACGCTTCCACCGAGTCTCCAAACACTTCAACCGATTCGAATTCGTCCTCAGCGAATCCTTTGTCGGCCCGAAATCGGCTGGCAAAACTAACGGCAGGCTGGATGGGAAGCTCGACCACCAGCGATTCCGAACCCAATCTCAAGGAGCTGGAGGAGCAACTGATGGGCCTACGGATCAGAGAAGCGGACATGAACGTGGAGCTGCAAGAAATGCGACAAAAGGTCATGGAACTCGAAACTCAAAACCATGTCTGCTCAAACCAACTGAAGCGACAGGACGAAGAGTTGAAGCGAGTCACCGAAGAACGCGACGAATTATGTAAATCCGAGCAGGAGATGGGCACGAAGGTGAAGGAATTGGAACATAAACTCCTGGCTGCGGAGTCAGAGATGAAGGAAAAGAACGTAATGCAAAGACTGAAGTACACCGAAGCCCTGCAGAACATCAGCGATCTGAAACAACATATTGCGCAATTGGAATCGAAGGTAATTTACGGAAATTTCAGTTTTGTTAATCATTTAGGTGGTATAATGAGATTTCAAGATTTTTTGGTTCTAAATTGCTGTTTACAGAATGCCGAGAAATTTGCCACCGCCCAGCTGCGCGGCTTGATCGATATGGACGAGGATTCGGTAGGTTGGGAACGAAGCATGGTCGATATTTATTTTTATGTTCGGCAATTGACCACTATACTTTAGATCGCATCCAACCGCTCCAATGGCTCTCTGGGTGACGCAACGTCCATTAACAGCGAAGAAATGTCGGCCTTCTTGGCCGAAGTGACTCTTAGACACTCGTTGTCCAACGTTCAAACCAATTCGGACTCCCTGCTCGAGGAAACGGACGAGGAAGACGAAAGAGGCGATGAGAAAAAGAAAAAACAACTCAAATCCCAGCGAAAGCATCACGAAGACACCGCCGACTCTGGCCTCGATGGCGTTCATCTCAGCGACAATTGAAATGAAGAAGCTCGCGGCCAAACTCAGTATCGAAATGCTCACTCAATTTGCATATCACATGTTCAGTTGTAGTCTTGTTAAATATGTCTTGTACTCTTGGTCGATCGTTTTGTAAATAGTTTGTTACCCTAGCGTTACAGCAGCCGATTTGTCACTTTGTGCCTTAAGATTCGTTTGACAGAATATTCATTCTTCTATTCCCAATGGTTTAGTTTTTTACCATGAACTTGAGCTATGGCTAGTATAATATTGTAAGTAAAATCCGAGATCTTGGTATTTTAAAGCCCAAAATTCCAAGTCTTGTGGATTTATGTGATTTCCTATCATTTTGTTCGAATTTTCCCGTGCCTTAATTTGGTCGAAACCTCCGGAAACCAGCACATAATGCCGTCTGAACACTTTCAAACACCCCGTCTAATTTTATTTTGCCCACAGTTACTTTATTAGTCCAAATCCCAGTTTTTTAATTCATTTACTAATTGATGCTAACAGATTGAGTAATAATATTTGAAGATTTGTTTTACCTGTTTTTCTAGTCTAATCCCTAAATTTGATACCGCATATGAGCATTTACCCAATATACATATAAATGGAATTTTATACGCTAAAAATAAATGATATTCATATTGGATGATGGACGTAAATTGATCGTTTCCAACGGGCTTTTTGTGAGAAAAAATCCTGATCAAAAACGCAATCGCAAGTACTGGAATTTACTCAGGCTTATAAGGCATTGCATAAAGCATACAGGAGAACTTTGTATATATTACAACAAAGCCCGCCTATACCGAACAATTTCATAAGTCCCAAGAGTCAATTTTTGTTAGAGTAAGACCTTTGCACAGCAAAACCTTCTATTACGACTATATTTTGTCCCTCGCGATTAGCTGACCGAGGCTTGACTGTATCAAAGAAATTGAAAAAAACTATATCAAAACAGATCCGTGGATCCCGATTCCGACGGTCATTCCTGCCGTCAAGACGTTCGTCTTTCTGATATAAATCCCTTCCACTAACCGATTCGTTTCTTTCTCACCTAAAATAAAAAAGTATCACATTTCTTTCTTTCTCCCCTTGAGCGTTTGCCAAAGAGGAAAAGAGTCGGACTTTCTTTTTGGTTGTAATAAAAAGTCCACTAACGTTTAATTTAGCTTTGGTTTGTTCAAAGCGCAAAAGCTGTTAGAAAATGGCTGATCTTCCATTGGCCACCAGAGCAAAGTTGGTTGCAATTGGAGCTGTTGTCTCATTTTCCTCCATTTTCCAAGTAAGTCAATTTGCAAGGAAATTTCGCTAAAGTCCCTACTAGTTTTTGATTGGACTTGGGATTCTATAGGTCGAAATTTGGCAAAAGTATTGCAAATTTCTGGGAATTTTGATATGACGAGATACGTTCCTACAGAGAGCAGTGTTTTCACAAAAAAACATGTTTTTTGTAACTGACAAAGATGGCTTTTTTCTCTCGGACCTCCCTCCACGTTTTGCGTACTCTCTCGGCCGTGCAGCTCCTTCAATATCTTGGCTGCCCCTGCAAAGCGCGAGATAACATTTGCAGGTGTTGGTATGTGGTCCGCGCTCGACGTGTGTGCAAAATTGCAAGAAAATCTGCGTCGCACTTGAGGCCTTTGCTTGACATACCTCAAACATTTTTGCAAGTATTACAACGTCAAACTTAATACCATAATTTTTGTTTCCCAACAAGGCCTTTTAATTTATTTTTTCAACAACACTTCTTTCAGATGGGATATTCAAATGCGTATGTCAACACGGCAATTGATGGGTTTAAATCGTTTATCAACCAAAGTCTGACGGACCGAAAAATTCATTTTTCTGAGTCATCATTCACTTGGCTTTGGTCCACCTTTCTTAACTCATGGTTTCCGGGGTTCGCCATTGGCGCGTGGATTGCTGTTCCGTTGACTGATATCTATGGAAGAAGATGTAACTGTTTTTTGTCAATTTAGACAAATTTTTTGTATGCAGGCCACCTGTTTGGCAAGCTGTTGCACTGGATAAAAACACTTTGCCCAAACTAAGGGCTGGGACCACACCTATGCCTAAATCAGCGCGCTAGGCAACAAAAAATCATATATAATGCAGTACGATCGAAATCTTACCAAATTTCTTTTCAGCTGGGCTATTGTTCGGAAATGGCGCTGTTACTCTTTCGGTGATTCTAATGACTCTGGGTCCTTTTTTGGACTTTGTCGAGCTACTGATTTTGGGCCGATTTTTCTCCGCCGTTGGGTCTGGCGTCTCAATGTGCTCGTTGGTCATATTTTTACAGGCAAGTTGGATTACGAAGAGGGCTAGTTCTTGATGGGTGATATTTTAAGGAGATTAATGAAATGAATTAAATTTGTATGACTTTGAATCTTAAAGTGTGACTATTTGCCTTCATTTTTATTGTAAGCTAAAAAATTTTTAGGAGATTGCCCCTAATTCAATGCGTGGGACACTCGGCTTCTTTGCAGAGACCGCGTTTGTTGCGATGAATGCTGTAGGAGCTGTGGCGGGAATGTCGTTCGTTCTTGGTAATCACATCACAGTACTCATCGGATTAGCAGCTATTCCTGGCGTCTTTTCCTTTTTGGCTGTTCTGCCGCTGAAAGAATCACCAAAATTTCTGTTGTTGAAAAAGGATGACTTTAACCGATCTTCCGAGGCAGTTCAATTCTATCAAAATGTTGGTAAGATAATCACAATAAGTTTACATTCTCCGGACATTTTTTGTGGAGTCGAATAGCAATTCTAGATCATCATCACGCGCAGTTAGTGTTGAATAAGATTCGGGAAGAGTCTTTGGATTGTAATAGCAGTCTGAAGGTGGTCTTAAAAACACCATCTACACGTAAAGGGCTCTTTATGGGAATCCTAGCTCTGCAGATCACTACATCAATATGGCCGGTGGTTTTTTTGTCAACGGAATTTATGGTCCGGGCGAATATTTCGTCCGAACTCGCCGAGTATGTGTCATCAACAATGCTGGTTGTGAGGTAAGTGTAAAGATTTCATTTACCTCGTTAGCATTCTAATATTATCGTCTCTTGTTCGAAATCAATCAAATTCCACAGAGAAGCCACGTTTCTCCCATTTTGTCTCAAAGCGTATCTACTTTCAGCACATTATCAACCTGTTGTGGAATGATTATTATCGAACGACTCAGCCGTCGAAACCTTTTCCTAGCCGCAAGTTTTGTGAACATCACGGCATTATTACTTTTTGTGGTATTCTCCCAATTGCAGCCGTACTACGACAAAGGCAAATACGGTTGCATAGTAGCCGTCTTTCTGCATGGAATGTCATACAGGTGACGAATAAATAAAAAAATCTTTCATAGGAATACTCAAATAGCCGCACATTAATGCCTGAAACTTTTAGCTTCTCGGAATCACAAAAGAATTTTGAACGGTATTCTTTACGAGAGAGCACTTGAAATGAAGAGAGAAAAAATGTGATTTGCCCATAGCTCTTTTGTTTCTCAACGGAATTTATTAATTTCTTGCACACAAGAAATTACAGTACACTGTACGTCAAACTGAGATAAGCTAAAACAGTCCGGTGAATGGATTGGCCACTTGCCAAAAAAAGACGCGAAAAAACGTTTTGTCGGGAAAGAAATGGGGAATTTTTGGGACGAGAGAGTACGTTTTTGCGTGTCTTTTTTCTCTCTTTCTCTGCGAAATCAAGACGAAGTGTAAAAAACCGATAGCGAAGAGTCTATTCCAGTCACCGGACTCCTCAGTTTGACGTGCACCGCGCTATAAAATGAGCCTAACTATAGAATCTCAAATCGCACAAAAACTTTCAACTTTTGACAAAAACCTCGCTGATTTCCGGACAGTGGAAGCAAAGAATCTCGCAAATGTTTTTAAAATTATGCCTTAAATTTGAGATCCCTGGAAAGATCTCCTTTACAGAATATAATACACTCAGTGCATTTGCTTTTTAGCCTCGCAACAGGTCCAATCGCTTGGTTCCTCGTGTCCGAATTAGTTCCAACAGAAGTCCGCTCACTTTGCAGTTCCGTTGCACTCGCATTGAATCATGTCAGCGCCGCATTCTTGACATTCTTGGTTCTGCCCGTGTACAATCATTTGAACTCTCTTTCATTGTTGATCTTGTTCGTTATACCATCGTATTGCTGCTTACTTATCCTATACTTCAATTTGCCGGAGACAAAGGGCCGCGACATTGCGGACATTGTTAAAGACTTAGGCAATGAAAATGAGGAAAAATACGAGTTGAAAGAATAAATATACACTTTATCGCTTTCCAAAGTGCATCAATTTTTCGAAATTTTTTATTTTTTTTCTTCATTTTTCCGCAAGAATCGGAATTGGTGGAGTGGTGGCATTTTGAATACGAAATTCTCGAGGAAACTGGTGGATTGTCTACGCGTTGTAAACTTGGAACAGGGTACCCGACCTTCTGCAACACGGCAGCTAGATCCGAGCACGATGAACGATTGGTTTGAGGACAATCCAACTACGTTGTGGATGACGGTCGTCAGCGCTCTGGCCTTCATGATCTCGTTGACTTCGATGGCTTGCGGAAATGTACGTCTAATGTAAAATAGGGGCGTTTTTTCGAACTTTTTCTAACGGAAAATTTATGGATGGGACTACAAAGTAAAAAAATCCTTTTATTTTTTTGGCTAGTTAAATCCATAATCCGTTACTCCCGCCACGCAAACTCTTATATTCAGCTTCGATTAGCCATTTATAAGAGTTTGCATGGCCAGTCCCCGAAAAGATTGTAAACTAGAAACAGACATCATTCATTATTTTTCAAATTTGATTCGGCCCTCAAAGACCATGCCGATCCATCCCGGGAGCCATGTCTAGGCCTGAAATTACGACTCTAAGATTTGGCTAGTCAACCCAGCGAAACATATCTTGGAAAAAGTTCCTTATTTTGGCCACAACAAAGGTACTCCGCGAACTGCGCCCAAGCTTGGGCATTAAAGTTAGGAAAAAACGCTTCGACCTAGCTGGCACTGAATTACGATAATAGCTGCATAGTTTTATGGGGACCTACGAAGGCTGTGACGACTCATTTAGTTCCATACGGAGGCAATAAATTTAGTTCCGGACATGTTTCATCGTATAAAGTGTAAAATCACAGGCTGCAGCCGTTTTTGAAGGGTAAGGTGGTATGTAAAAAAGAAGGTACATCACTAACTAAATCCGCTGTCCGGGCATTGACAACGATGAATTGAGCGTGCACGCTAAATTTGGGCTAATTCCGACCAGTTTCCGCAAAGTTATAAGTTGTGGAAGGAACTTCTACCCATATCTTTCGTCTCGTCTTTCTACAACTTCTAAACAAAACTTTTAGAAAAAAGGCGGTGGACGACCAACTGGAGACTCGAAGAATGCCGCCAACAACCCGAATGTCCGGAAACCTAAAACCTGGCCCAAGAACGAGAAGGAGGAATTGATAGCAAAAGGAGAGCTCAAAAAGGGACGCAACGATTATCCAACAGTGAGTCCATTGAAGCCACTTATTTACAGAGGAATACACAGGCGATCTTCTGCTAGAAAAACACGTCTGATGCTTTGCTTTTCAGATGGACGATGTTGTCAGTGACTGGTCGTCCGAAGAGGAAGGAGACGATGGAAAGAAGAAGAAAAAGGAGAAGAAAAAGAAGCCCAAGAAGGAAGAGAAGGACAAAAGTAAAACCGAGTCGGTTGTGAAGCCCAGCGATGTCAAGGATCCCGCCTGATTTCCGTTGAAATATTTTGGATTTGCTAATCTTTTGCAAGTAAACTGAAATTTCGCTTTCCGTATTGATGTTGAACACGTCAGTAACCCGAAGCGGCTAGTCATTTGTGAGTTTCGTTGACCACTTCTACTCTATGACACAAATTACAACCTTTTGGCAAGCTATTTTCGAGGCGTAATGACGCCTCGAACATGTCAACGTATTTTTTTGAGGTTTCAAAAGTTGAGACACGAAAAGTTATATTACAAATGGTACCTTGCCAATTTTCGAAGTAGGCGAAGACTACAGAAAAAGTGTCAATTATAAAAATGTTCGCCATGATCGAAAACGTATCTTGGCAATTTTTGCGGGTCTTCTACACCGATTTTGAAAAGAAAATGATTTTTTGATATACCGTACCGGCAACATTCAAAGTATCATAACTCCAAGCCCCCCCCCCTTTTATTTTCACGCATTTTTGATATGTTGTTACATACATGTCAAAGTGTTTTTAAGAAGTTTCAAAAGTTGAGACAAATTCTCTGCCAAAATGTTGTATTGAATATGGTACCTTGGTATTTTTCGAAGTAGTCGAAAGCAACATCCTACGGCAAAGTTGTCAATTACGAAAATTTTCCCCATGGTCGAAAACGTAAAACGGCGAGGTTTTGTGCCTTTACTCCTTGAGATTTTTACACATGAACCCAATCTATCTGAAAATTGTACGTACCTATTACAACAACTATGCAAAATATCAAATGATTCTGACTCGGTCGTTTCTTCGAAATGTCCGGCCCTTGTTATGAGAAGCTTCAATCTGTAAAAAACTCTCTTTTTTAAAACGAAACATTTTGTTTTTTTCAAAACGCTATTATTTTTTTGTTGCACGTAAAATTATGGAAACCCTTATGGCCGGTTATGGCTCTCCGGGGAATATTCTTGGTAAAACAAAAACAATTTAGTGCTAACATCCATGTGGTCAATTGTTGAGTTTGCCGAGGCCGTAGACGCTATTTTCGATGTCCAATTATACCGGGAAGTTTTCGACGCCTCTAAATGAATATGTAAGTACGCGCATTTCTCTGCGATTTCCCAAAACTCGGTGGGATTAACGTATGCATCGTTTTACAGCTTTACCGCACGTACTACGGACGAGGCATATCGCTGGACTTGCTGGCCGTACCCATAATATATTTTGGTTTTTTGATGTTGAGTTATATCGGAAATACGTTGGTCGTTGTAGCGACGATAAAGAATGCGTAAGCCGTTTGCTTCATTACAAAAAGGTCCGATTGTGATTGCAGAAAGTTGCATGGGACCTACAACTGTTTTGTTTGTATTATCTGCGTCGGGGATATGCTCCATCAATCGACACATTGGGTTTATCTGGCGAACAGTGTCTTCGGCCAGCATTTTATTCCGTTCTACAAATGCTTTGAAATGGATTTTGTTCTTGCCGCCGGAGCAACGATTAGCGCGCTAGCAACGTTGTACGTAGGGATCGATCGGCTTATTGGGGTAGCTTTTCCTGTGACCTACAAGCAGTTGAATCGTGTTGCGTATGTGGGCGGGCTGTTCTTGGTTTCTTTGGTTTATGCCGGCTTCGTCGTCTACTTGGGATATGAGCACACGATGAGCGAGTTTAGAGATGAGTAAGTATATGTATAGAAAACATTTTATCGATCAACGAATCTCAGTTAAAGTTCGCACAATAAGATTTCTTAATACAACTGCCTCCCCTTATTAGGGAGGAGCTTATTTCCACCATATCTTTTCATAATACATAATAATTTTTGTAGACCCGTTCTTTGTCGGATAATCGATTCCTTCGGTGGGAAATCCCGTGATGCTTGGTTCTTAATGTGCATCGCAGTAAACCTTCTTGACGTCATCGTATACGTCACCGTTTGGATATTACTCAAAAGACGAACAGCCGCCAATGATTCAATGAGACGAGTCTTCAAGTCGTTGATCGTCATGATGTTCACCGTGGTTCTTGGATGGATGCTTAATGCGTTCGTTGTTGCTGTTGTCCTACCGCATATTCCGATTGAGCGGTGGTTCTACTATGAATCGTATTTCGGGATTTTGATCAACGTGGCCAGCTCGGGAAACGTGGTCATTCTTTATTGCTTGAGGTATAAAATTTTCAAAATTTTGGAGCATATCAATTACTCGAACATTTATTTAAAAAAACAGTTTTTTTAAAGTTTACAAAGCGCTAATTTCAGTGGTGAATATCGTGCAACTTTTCGAGAGATGTTTAATCTACCCGATAAGCCGAGTAAGGCCGCACCTGTATCCACCGTTGGCCCAGCAAGTCAAATGGAAGGATGGAAAACAACAGATTAATTTGAAAAAATCTGTTGCCCACTTACAATGACAATCTGTACAAAAAACATCTCCTTCAAAAGACTGTTTCGCTCATGGCACTTCTTTATGCCCTTTGACCGCATACTTTTAACTGTATATATATTTAGCTTTTGCAGATAATTCTGAAGTTCTCAAAAGTTTTAGTAAGGAATTTTATACGTTATAAAAGCGTTATTTGCTCATATTAAGTCTTTACTCAGACGTCAAACAGTATTTTTTCTTGAGGAGGTGAATAAGTAAATATTCGAGGAGAACGTTCAAACTTTTTTGTTTGTTTGGCAAACTCTCTGGCGATCTCTTCATTCTTCTTGCATCCATGTTTCATATTTCATAAAACTCCGGCAAGAGTTCAAAACCTGCTACTTTTTACGGAAAACGTTATGTCATGGTATTCTCAAATTTGAAATTTTCTGTAATTTTTTTGCTCATTTTGTCACTACGATGTTGCGGACAAGTAAGTGCAGAGTTCGTTTTCAAGTTCCCTGCAGCAAATAAGTTTGCTGAATAAACTGTCTCACACCTATATTTTTTTACTTGCAATTTTTTCAGCTTTGTTTTTGTGGCAGTTGGCAATAAAAACTTTTTTGAAATTTTGTTTCCCAAGCCGTAAAAAAGCGATTTAAAAGTAGTTGTTGTTAACAATATGTGAAAGTACGTTTTCATTGCTTTTCAGTACGCCGACTATAGCCAGAAAGAAGCACAAGGAAAGAATGGTCAACATTCAGGCGGGGACCCATTTGTAACTGAAAGGTTCTTCGAGCAACGGAACGATCACTTTGTAGATCCCAACCAGACTGGCACTTTTATCCAAGTAAGTCAAAAAGAATAGCTATTTGCGCGGAGTGCGAAGGAACGTTTAAATTTGGTTTATTTTGACCTTCAGCGTTACTTTGAAAATCTTGCATTTTTCAAACCATACGGTCCGGTATTTTTAATCCTGTCCGGTGAAGGAGAAGTGCAACCAGATCATATTGGACGGGACCGAACATTATTGTCTCAACTAGCTGAACTGTATGGCGGTGCGCTGTTCATACTGGAACATCGATATTACGGGAAGAGTGTTCCTCAAGGGTAAGCCATCGTCTATTGCGCATATCTCTTCCATTGACCAATTACAGAAACTATACAAAGTATGAATTTCTGTCTTCCCGGCAAGCCATCGAAGATGCCGCTTACTTTGTTCGCTCAATGCGAGAAAGGCCGCAATTTATGACGTCTCGGTGGATCGTAAGTGGGTGCTCCTATTCAGGTAAGTAATAAGAGATTTTTAAATTATAAAAAATCCGTTTTAAGGCTCTCTTGCGACATGGTTTAGAGCTCGATATCCCAGTCTCACAGCCGGCGCAATTGCATTTTCAGCGCCGCTAGAGGTACAGATTGATTTTGAAGGTGTGTTCAACAAAAGTCAAGACGTAATTCCATCGCTGTTTAAGAATACAAAACAGCTGTTAGCGAGAGCCTATGGAGAATTAGCGAGCCGTGCGCTGGCCGTCTAAGAGATGCTCTGGAACTTTTGAACGCCGAGCTGCAGCTGGATTTAGATAATCGAATTGAGACTTTGAACAGTTTGTCCTTAGGGTAAGGAATTGTGATCTTTTAGGAACATCCAAACAGTAGTATTTTTAACAAGGTAACTTTTGCTTTCAGGACGGAAAACTTGACAATCTATGAGCCAAATGCCATCCGCGAAAGACTGATGACTGAGATTCTGTTTGTAATGGGCGGAATGCTGCAGACGAGGACCCAAGACGATATTCGTCTGATTTGCAGAGACAGAGTAGAGAATCTCCGGTAAACGTTCTTAAAGTATCTAGAAAAACAAATTTCCATTGCGTCAGCAATTGAGAACTGTCTTTTAAGATGTCTCAATCTTTATTTTAACCCTTGTCGGCCCAAATTTGGAAAACCCTCCTAATTCAGATACCCGTTGCTTTCTGTTCTCAGCCACCTTTTTCAAAATAAGACAAACTTCGAAGAGTCCGGTTACGACCTCAACGGATGGTCGTACCAATTGTGCAACGAATTTGGATGGTTTGTAGCATCGGCGGAGGCCGAGGACGACCAAGATGTGTGGCCGAATCTGTTTAACTTTAACGTTAGTTTGGAAAACGCCTCTGGATTTTGCCGTGGGATTTTTGGCGACGAATTTGTCAGCGAAAATATCAACCGAAAAGTCGCCGAGACTAAGGATTACTATGGTGGAAGGGTGGACTTGAATGTAAGATTTAGGTGTGTTTTATAACGCAAATGTCTCTGTTGGCAGGTTTCGAATGTTCTTTTTGTGGAAGGAGAGAACGATCCGTGGCGTCCCCTACAAATGGAAGCGAAGTATTTGAAGGGAACCAACGTGCTTGTTATTATAAAAGGTAACACCTAAAAACAACATTAAAACAAAGATATGAAATTTGAACACTCTTAGGTGGCACACACTGCGAAGGGATGTTTCCAAATATGCAGCCCGAGGTCAGAAATGCTCAAGCGATAATCCACTCACGGGTCCTGGATTGGATCGGGCTTCCGAACCCCAGCGACCCACCAGCTCGACGTTTTCCAACACGAATGTACGATCCAGTTGGTGGCCATACGGGCGTGAAACCGGCCCGGATATATGGATTTCCTTACTTCGTCACGAATTACGGTTAAGCTTTTTTTCCACCATTGAGAGTTACAGATACGGGTTAACAAAGCGTTTTTTTTTTTGATCATTACATTGACTACAATAATTATGCAAGCTAAAAGGTATTTACAAGAATATGTAACAAAAATGTCGTAAAAAGGGTCAATAAGGTCTGAACAAGCATTCTGAGCCCTGGGTGGTAAGCGCTTCTCGGAATCGCTGCATTCCGGCCGTCTTCTTGTGTCCTTGGCTTGAGAAAGTCGAAAAAACTGCTCTAGTATATGCCTCGTTAACCTTTATTTCGCTAATTATATACAGCAATATCTTTGTGAAAACACTTTGCACAGTCAGAATGATTACTTCTTGCGTGCTCAAATCATCTGAAGTAGGGCTACAGTAAGCTCCGGATTCCGGCTTAACAAAGCGGAGAATTGCGCTTTCTGCAACCGAGCTGAATTATGAACTCTTAACCTTACCGCCTCGTTGTCAGTCATCTCGTATTTCACGAACAAACAGGCCTTCTTGATTAGCCAGTTCAGATTCAATTTCGAGGCGACTTCGATTACTCGAAAAACATTGGAACGACCCAAGTTGTCGCCCAGAAACCTGGCCGTGTAGTCCTTCAGATGAACCATCTCGAAGAAGTCGGCGGCCAGCAAAACGTCCAGGGCGTTGGGTTTAAATGCAGGACTATGTTCACCATGATACACGCAGTATAAAATTTCCACTAAAGCCTGCAATAAAAGATTTTCATTTGATTAAAAAATCAAACGGTACCTTATACGGAACAACAGTCAACGTGACTTGACCCGCTTGAGATTCCATAGTGTCATCGTGGAACATGGCCCGGAAGTACGGCGATGCCACGGAGAGAATGTTCTTGTGAACCGGTATTACAACCTCGTCTTCGTTTTCGTACGAACAAATAATCTTAAAGTCGGAGTACTGCTCCTTGAGATAATTCTTGGATATGTTGACCGGTTGAGGCGAAAGCTAAAAATTATGTTGACTCAAAGGAAATATGACAGTCGTTACCGTGGATTTCAACGGCTGAGAGTCGCTAACGTGCTCTGCGACAGTGATTGTCAGTCGTAGGCAAAGGTCTTCTCGGATCTGTTCTTTGAAAACTCCGCTCTAAAAAGGGTTACAAATATATTGTGATACAAATGGTATGCTCACCATAATCCTGCCGTCTCCATTGATCTCTCGGACGAACTTGACATCCACGAATTCCAAGTCGTCGGATTCGTCGTCGGATCTACGAACCGCACATTTGAAGGACGACCATTTAGGATTCACCCCATCCAAAATTATCTCCATTGGCCTACCGGGCTGAAATTGCATTGCATGTAAAAAAACAAAGACGAGGTCAACTGAAATACGATTAATTTACTTACAAACCTAGGCCGGGTAATTGTTATGATCAGCTCTTTCGGATCGCCCTCATTTCTTCCTCGGAAATTCTCCGGTAATTGCAACCGGCTTTCTGCTTGACCAATGCAAGTTTTGTAATTTTTGATCACAATGTTTCGCTGGTAAATCTCCGTGAGAACATCATGAGTTTTGTGAATGATTAAGGGACTTAAAGCAATCGTTTCAGCAGATTCTACTCCACTTACGGCGATCTAACTGATTTAGCCTCCACAATCGACGTTGCCGTTCCGACCATCATTTTTTAACGGAGTTGCAGAAAAAATATTGCGTCGCTAGGAACGTTTGCAGAAGTTTTCTTTTCCAGAACTGTGCTAGAATCAACTTAATTGCACAATCGCAATGACAAGGCCATAATATCGGTATTACAACTTACGAAATCAAGCAAAATAAATAAATATGCCCGTCCAAACAACACGTTCGTATAATTCAAGGGGAATTAAGACGAAGAGCGGCCAGCCGGGGATCCAAAAGAGATTTCTCGAGCTCAAACAAATAAATATATAAAACCGAGGGGACGAAATCAAGTCTTTTGTTTGTCCACTGTTCGTTTTCGTATCACAAACTGATTGTGCATTGAAAACAAGTTAGTAACAAGGTAAATAGAAATTGGGCAGGATGATAACAGACTTGGATAACAAAAATATAATATAACGAAAAATAACCAACAGGTGTTCTGTGAGTAATCTCAACAAAAATTATTATGTGAAAAAATAGGAAATCGAAGAATCCTAAAAATTGGATATAATGAATATCGAAGAAAACATAAAACGCTTAGCGCTTAGGACAAGTGTTTGAGTAATGCCCAAGCGTCCATTGTCTTGAAACAATGAAAAAGCCATTTTTTCGGCTATATTTTCAGCTGGCCCTTTCAAAACAATTACTTCACAAGACCATTCAGGTGCGGATCATATGACATTTCGTCATTAAGAGGTCAAACGACCTCGCAAAAAAGTTATAAAGTGGAACGGGTGAGCGGACGTGGTCGAACGTATGACCTATATAAGTACGTTAAATAACGTCATAATTGAAATCTCTGAACCTGAAAAAAGTATAAGGACCAACTGCAAGACGATGAACTTACGAGATATGCTTCGTCTGCCGAGCAGATTGTTGGGGTGCTAAAAAGTTATCACCGGCGTTTTGAAAAAAGGTCATTTCTTAGAAATCAGTGTCACGACCTTCCTACTCTTGATGTGCCAAAAAGCTATGCGTTTTTACGTGAAGCTTAAAATCGTTGCCAGGAGAACAAATAGTTGATATGAAAATGGTAGTTTAAAGAGAGCAGTACAGCTATTTTTAAATTGCGCTTTTTACGGCGTGGAAAGTAAAACAGTTATTAGTACACATGTAATAAAATGGCACCATAATTTTTTTCTGTTGTAATTGGCACAAGGTCATTTTTTGGACATTTCTTTTCCCAAGCCGGTTTAAAACTTGCTGCATTGGCTCTTTGTTGCAATTTTACTAATAAAAAATTACTGGGATGGGCAGTAAATCTATGCTTCCGGCCAACATCCGGAGCACTACTAGTCGCGACATAAAGTCCGTAGAATTTTCTGCACTGTGCATAACCCCGAAAACACATTTTGCACTGTGCAATTTTGTTGATTTTGCCTTATTGTCGCGCGCGATTCCCGTTTTTCGCAGCGACAAATCAACATTTCGGAGCGCGACGGAATTTGGGGGCCGCGAAAAATTCTACGGACTTTATGTCGCGACTAGTATTAGAATTTTTTTCAATCGTTTGTTTTAGGATTTGCACATATTTGGTAAATGGGATGTAGAACAAAAACTACACTAGACGTAATTGTTGAAAATTATTTCGGCGTCCTTCTTCAGATGTCTGCACACTATTGAAACACCATTTCCCTAGGTAATTTGAATGTCGCAAATGCGTCGATCGATTCATCGCCGTCAAAACGCATCTTTGAAGATTGTGAATTAGCTGCCGATTACCACTACTCTTCCTACCCTTTTCCTGATCCTGTATGAAAATAAGGAGGAAACAAGAGGAAACAGTAGTGTAAACAACGCTAACTGGGAACCATCAACCAAATGATTTATTACTTTCCCCTCCGTCAAACATCAGGTTGAGCACACGGAAGTTGCGCGAAAGTGAGGGGCTGAGTTGAGCGCCGAGTTTGCAAATACGACACAAAAGATAAACTTTATATGACATGAAAACTTTATATAACATGACATCATACACAGATTTTGTCGTTGGTGTCCGACAATTGACGTAGTCTCAATGTCTTTAATTTACTTATTATTCAATTGCAATAACTTTTGGCTGGCTTTCGTCGGAGAATCCTCAACATCCGCCGTTAGAAACCCGTTTTTTCTACGAAATTTTATGCAATTTTCACTCAAATTTTACTACTTTGAATATCTGTTAGACCGATCAACATTCCCCTCTTTTTCTGCAATAATATTTTTTGTAACGAGTCTGTTGGGGGTTTGAATCCGGAAAAGAAATCGAGAGCTGACTCCGGGCAGGTCTAATTTTATTGTCTATATGCTTAACTTTTTTGTATATTTGCGGATCCATGTACCAGCAGCTAGCGGTATATAATATATACAGCCGATCTTAGAACATCCGCAAACTCCCTAAAACGGTACAAAAACTTATTGAATTGTATTCTGGGCCATTGAAAAAGTGTATTAATTTCCTTTACGTAATCTTTGAGTTGTAGGAAGTTTTGTTTTTCGATCTATTTAAAAAGCCAGTTATGACCCTCAAAAACGTAAGCAGTCGAATCAGATAACTTTTTGGAATACTCCCTCGCCTATTACCCTATGACGACTTCAGTTTTCATCAGTCTTAACGGGCTCGTTCCATATTTGTTAACGTTCCCTGATGTGTGTAATATACGAATTCCGAGGTGAAATGGTTTTCAAAGATGGGTTTTGTAACACCAAAATTACGGGTTTGAACATGACTTTGTTAGGTGTTTTGTTTTTTTTTGTGAAACACTATGCCGAATCCACAAATTAATGGTAATCGCGTTTTGAGTATTTTTCCGTATCCGCATAAGACGATTTTTTGAAAATTTCCCCCATCAGAAAAGCCTCCGATAACGGTCGTTAAAGAAAATTTATGTTTAGCGAATAACTCGTCGACGTCATAACTTGCGCAACACGGAGAGTTGTAGCATGATTCACAAATTCCTGAAACACATTTATTCTCCAGGTTCGAAAATCCGTTGCGGTTCATAAATTACTCATCTTTGTTCGCTGGTTCTTACTCACTTGTTCGGACTTTATTAAGCGTAGACACTGAGGAATTGGGTATTTAGTCGGCTGAAGTGAGGTTTTTAGGATTGTCAGTAGGGAAGTTACATATTTTGAGAATATAAATTCCGCTTACCGCGTCCTAATTTCGTAATAGGTACGAAAGCCCGCTTTTCGAAGTAGGATTTTGTACTGTAGAATTTTAAGCACAAATTGTCATATGCAAGTTAAATATTAGTTGAAATAGTTGCGGTTTGTTAATGCAAGACGCAACTTTATTTTAATTCTAATTTCTTCTGTATCCGAATGTGTCGTACCTTGCCCTTCCAAAATCTTTCCAAAACAAGCTTCACCAATGTTATCCACTTTAATGCCCTTGCTAATGGCTGTTTCCGCATAACAATAACTATAACACCTTCCCTATACTATTCCCAATTACTACTAATTAACAATACAAAAGAGATCACATTGTTTTCGCCGAGGTCAAATAAAGTAAAAGTTGGTTTTATTGAATAAAAAAGTTCCCTATATGCATGTCCCTCCCATCAGACCAAAGCTACTAATCAAGATTTCCTCTTTTTTTATTTTTTCATTAATCGAACAATTAGTCGAGGCTTTTTCGAATCTCATTTTCACTTTCGTTGACAAATATATTTATTTGACGGAGCGGTCGTATGTTTGCGCACTTTCACGGAAGTCGAGTCCGCCACTGTTACGGGTTTTGTAACTCTGTAATTTGTTGTATTGAGGTCGAGATGGGAGGTGTTGCAATTTACTTGAAACAATTTATGGCACATTTTTCAAGTTAGCGGAGGACGACTTTCGCCGAGCTGACTGTTAAAGAGACTGGGCGCAAATTAAAGTCCATACCAAATAAAAGGGTATGTATTTTTGGCCATAATGCAAGACATTTTCCGACAAAATTTGGTTGAAGTTAAAAGCCGACCATATTCAGAATTCACTTGTCATATTGATATCAAGCTAAGTCCCATGTTGAACAGTTTGACTCAGAGGTCGTTATCACCTAACAACCTTGAAGCAGTAAATTTCTCGGAAACAAGCGAGAGTCGTCGTTGATTTCGCCGAGAAAAAAAGTATTGTTTGCTATCGGTTTGCAAACCCATTTCGTCAATGGAAAAGAGGGAAGATCGTCGCCCACCTAAAAAATCCATTTAATTTTTGGAACGGAAATTGAAATAGAAGGGTTGAAAACGTTCTGTAGGGTACTTTTGAGTGACTTGAACGTCTTCTCACTTCTGTTGAGGGTGAGGAGAAGAAAGATGCATATTTTCCAAAAATATAATATTGTAAAAGTATTTTTTCTTACCACCGCCCTGATTCATCAAGATTTCCCTATATTCGTTATAAAAACTCGGGCCACACGGTAGGCTGTTTTATTAGCAGTAGATGTCTGGATTTGCTAATCATCATTGAACAAGGCTTGCAGCCTCCTCAACTCCACGTAAACCTACGTCTAATTGATCTTTATCTAACTAAGGTCATCACAAATCCTCGCTTATCCGTGTCAAATCCCAACTTGACCTCTAGCTCGTAATTTTCTGTCTTTTGTTGATTTTTTCCCCGATAGACGAGCGACATAAAAGGAGGCGGGATTTGTGGCGCAATCGGAATGTCTCGAGTTCTTCGCTAGTTTTTTACCCTCAGCCTTGGAAATCAGGGATTTTCGGGGGGTTCGATGGGTAATTTATTCGGCAATGTGGGGCTGGCTATATTTGCAGCGGCTTACACGACCGGCTTGGACAAACCGTAAGCACATGTTTCGCCACAAAGTTTGTACGTGTCGTGCGCAGCTAAGAACTTCGCCGGCCAGGAAAAGTTCAGTTCAATATTCCTCTTGAAGGTACATTTTATACTACAGAAAGAGTCATTTAAACCAGAAGATATTCGAATATTTCAAGAAACTATCCCACTTTTCTCCGTGATCACCCATTTTGGGGTCTTTGATTAGATGAATAAGTTAATGATGCGTGACTCCCTTGTCCCTTTCGTATCCTTTGTGATGTTATTTCGTTGAACTTATTGTATGCGGAATATTCAATTAAGAAAATTTCCTTTCGGACTTGATAGATGACAACTTTTGGTATATAAGCTAAAAGCATCTATATGGAATATGCGGTTTTATAGAGTTGTTTAGAAAACATAGCCCTTTGCTCTTATAAGACAACATTTTAGAACGTATGAACCGCGGGAAAATTACTTTTTTTCGATATGAATTGTTTGTTGTGCCAAAGACCTGTGTATATCGTTCAACGCCAGAATTTCACCTCGAACCTCTAAAAGTTATCAGCAGAAGTAATTATGGTATTTTCAGTCCTATGGCCAACTCTAACGGTCATCGTTGGCCGTTTCTTAGGCTCCTTTTTGTCGCTTTTATATCATCGACACATTCCGCGTCGCTCTACGGGAAACCCCCCAGGGATATCGGTAAGTTATTCTAAAACTAATTTTCTCGCTTCGCCAGATTGCTCTGTAATTTCCTTTATTTCCAATTATTTTGACATTTTGAGTCATTTCTTGGGAATTTAATTTGTCTTTCTGCAATCACAAACTCCTTAATTTTGCGATTGATTGCGATGCCTGAACATGGGTTTTAGCACTATAAAGCCGAAAAAATTCTGCGTCATTTCTTACAAAAACGGTTGGTCAACTTGACCCATCCATTTTCTCTATAGTCCATTAATTATCCAAGTTATCCTTGCATTTTACTGTCCGTAGTACACCAAAAAGAATCCTATTCGGAAAACTTTTGAAATTTCCCCGCCGTTCTGAAGGTCAATGACTGTCCATTCCTGTTGAGGAATTCAAGAAAAAACTGACTTCGCATGAATCAAAGGACAATTCAATTTAGCAAATTTGGGTCGGTTTGAAGTGGGCTGTAAACGGGGTTGAGGTCTACCTACAACAAAAACAGAACTTTTTTTATGAAGGTGTTTTTGTCAGGTTCAAATTTAGCTAGCAAAAGTTACTCAAAATACCATGTGAATTTTCACGGTGACCTTTTTATTAATTTACAAACGGCGTTTACTATGCTTTTCTTCCTAAACTATAAAAACACTGTTTTATGACATAATTGGTTTAGTTTCTATTCCTTTTCCTCATCTAATGATCACATTGTTACACCGCGGTTTTCTCGGGATCCGAAAGAGTCTCTTGATAAGGGAGTTTGTGGATTTTAACTTCTCGCGCTCCCGAAAACAATGGAAGTTTGGAGAGTGTGACTTGACAAAATAAAACAAATAAAACCCCACCTGAGGGTAACTAGAATAATTGATAGTGGTTATGATTGCGTGGGACAAAAAAGACAATTTTTTGGCATTTCCTGCATTTTTGGGAAATCTTTAAACTTATCTGATCGTAAATAAAGGGGTGTCCGATTTACCGAGGAAGTAAATGACTATAAAAAGTGTTGTAAACAACGGCGCTGAATTGCAAATACCTCTCGTCTGACCTCTCAGTTTTCCGAAACCGGCTTCTTACTGAACCGTTCGCTACGTTTTTATCTGATTGTAAATCTTATCTTTCACAGTTTATGAACAACTCGGTTTCAACACTAAAATTCCTACTTATATGATGCTCCTATGACAGTTAAGAAACAATTTGAAAACGTACAGTTTTTCTGAAAAGAAACAAAACAAACGCAATAAACTTATTCAAATGTTTTTTAGAATGTCCAAAGAACAACCTCTATGCAGCAGTTGGGGATCGGAGTCAAGCGGAATCAACAAATTGGCTAAGGATAGATTGGAAGGCATCAAGTATCGAAGAATGCGCACGCTCTTGTTATGAATATCGCTTTTGCTATTCTATTCTCTACGATGAGGGAAACCGAAGACCATGCACATTCTTTTTACATGTAACCGCGCAATGCGGAGAACGGCAGCTAAAGCCTTTGGCAGAAATCAGCAGTCAGAAGAGCGGCTTGGTAGAATGTTTCAGATGTGTTGGCGATAGCGAAGTTGGTATGCTCTTTCTCTATCCAGCTGAATACCGTAGTGCAGCCGCATAAGCATTTGCAGTAAATGCTATAAAAGTATTTTTGAAACACAGTAGTCCTTAAATTCTAAAGCTCACTTTTATCACGTTTTTCATCAGTTTCGACCAAGATTTTACGGAGTTTTGATTATTATTTCAAATTTCGTGGGTGAATCTCCCTTTATTTCCCAACTTTTCAGGACAGTCGCCAAAAGGAATAGATTACATCAAAAGTCATAATTCCGGCGGAACCCGTAAGAACAAAACACAAGTGACTAACTTATCTGTTTATTTTAAGAACTTGAATTCCACTCTGATTCTCCAGCAACAACCCACGCACCACGTCCATCACCGCCAAATGGCCCAGCCTATCAATCCTGCACCGTAACTTATCAAGTCCATGAGGATTCTGCTAGCTTAGGCATTTCGACAAGTCACGAAGTGTCTGTTGCAAGGTTCGTTCAATTCGGAAAATTTTTATTTGAAAACTTGAACACAATGATAATCATCGTATTTTAGTGTCCGCGAATGTGCTTTTATCTGTTATCAAAGTGGCTGCAGCGCAGCAATCTTCGAACCGAAAGCTCTTGGCGCTGTTTGCCAGATGGGCTTTAGACAACACGAAAATTGTGGTGGAGTAAGTCGATGGGACTTCAAATACACGGAAGGCCAGACTGTTGGAATAAGCTGCTTCAGATGCTGTAAGTACATTATAGTACCCCACACATCTTTATAGCTCCTCGAGGACCTCCGACAGCGCATGAAACGAGCCCCACCCCAACTCAACCTCCAAAAACTGAAATTGCGGAGTCGATTGACGACAAGCCGGTGGCCGAGACCAAGGATAGTAAAGTTCAACAAGCAGAAGACAATGGAAGTAAGTTGCCACATCAGTATAATATTTGTAACCGAAAATAAGCCATTACCAAGAGTTCTGCATGACGATATATTTTTTAAGATTGCGTTGTCAGTTATCAAGCCGACTACATGTCCGAACGTCCGGAAAATTTCCACGGAGAGTTCAATGTGACCGTTAAGGCTGCTTCAGCAGATCAGTGTGCCTCTGTTTGCTATCAAAACGGATGCACGGGAGCATCGTACACGGTGGGCACAAACGAATGTAAAATGGGAATCGGTGATAACCACTTTTGCTCGGAAGGAGGTTACATTACGCATTACATTCCCGAATCGGAAGATGAAGAAGTTTGGATTCACTGTTTTACTTGCCGTAAGTAGACTTCTCTACTATGCAGCAATTTACTACTAAAGCAATACCACAATAATAGTTCGCATTCCAGAATTCAAGCAGAAAAACTTTATAAAAGAACAAACTGGCCTAAACAAACCAGCACATTCAAAGTTTCCCACTACCACGACCGCAAAGATCCCCGAAGCCGAAGAGAATAACGATGAAAACCCAGCCACTGCCGAAACCACGGCAAGGACCACAGAAGAACCGATAGTCGCTGTCACCGCCCGAGCAGCCACGACATCGGAGACCGAACTGACGACTTCTGAAGGGGCTTCGGCAATTACTACGACAGTTGAACCAGTCTCCGCAACCGCTGGAAACGTCAATGAAGGACAGAGTGAAACAACAGCCGCTCCAACTACAGTTGAACCGGTCTCTGTAACCGCTGGAAACGCCAATGAAGGACAGACTGAAACAACAGCCGCTCCAACAACAGTTGAGGCCACAACAGTTGAAGCCACAACGGTTGAAGCAACGACTACAGTTGAACCAGTCTCTGTAACCGCTGGAAACGCCAATGAGGGACAGACTGAAACAACAGCCGCTCCAACAACAGTTGAGGCCACGACAGTTGAAGCCACAACGGTTGAAGCAACAACTACAGTTGAGCCAGTCGCTGCAACCGCTGGTAACGCCAATGAAGGACAGACTGAAACAACAGCCGCTCCAACAACAGTTGAGGCCACAACAGTTGAAGCCACAACGGTTGAAGCCACAACGGTTGAAGCAACAACTACAGTTGAACCAGTCTCTGTAACCGCTGGAAACGCCAATGAGGGACAGACTGAAACAACGGCCGCTCCAACAACAGTTGAGGCCACGACAGTTGAAGCCACAACGGTTGAAGCAACAACTACAGTTGAGCCAGTCGCTGTAACCGCTGGAAACGCCAATGAAGGACAGACTGAAACAACAGCCGCTCCAACAACAGTTGAGGCCACAACAGTTGAAGCCACAACGGTTGAAGCAACGACTACAGTTGAACCAGTCTCTGTAACCGCTGGAAACGCCAATGAGGGACAGACTGAAACAACAGCCGCTCCAACAACAGTTGAGGCCACGACAGTTGAAGCCACAACGGTTGAAGCAACAACTACAGTTGAGCCAGTCGCTGCAACCGCTGGTAACGCCAATGAAGGACAGACTGAAACAACAGCCGCTCCAACAACAGTTGAGGCCACAACAGTTGAAGCCACAACGGTTGAAGCCACAACGGTTGAAGCAACAACTACAGTTGAACCAGTCTCTGTAACCGCTGGAAACGCCAATGAGGGACAGACTGAAACAACGGCCGCTCCAACAACAGTTGAGGCCACGACAGTTGAAGCCACAACGGTTGAAGCAACAACTACAGTTGAGCCAGTCGCTGTAACCGCTGGAAACGCCAATGAAGGACAGACTGAAACAACAGCCGCTCCAACAACAGTTGAGGCCACAACAGTTGAAGCCACAACGGTTGAAGCAACAACTACAGTTGAGCCAGTCGCTGTAACCGCTGGAAACGCCAATGAAGGGCAGACTGAAACAACAGCCGCTCCAACAACAGTTGAGGCCACAACAGTTGAAGCCACAACGGTTGAAGCAACAACTACAGTTGAGCCAGTCGCTGTAACCGCTGGAAACGCCAATGAAGGACATACTGAAACAACAGCCGCTCCAACAACAGTTGAGGCCACAACAGTTGAAGCCACAACGGTTGAAGCCACAACGGTTGAAGCAACAACTACAGTTGAGCCAGTCGCTGTAACCGCTGGAAACGCCAATGAAGGACAGACTGAAACAACAGCCGCGCCAACTACAGTTGAGGTCACGACAGTTGCAGCCACAACGGTTGAAGCGACAACTACAGTTGAACTAGTCTCTGTAACCGCTGGAAACGCCAATGAGGGACAGACTAAAACAACAGCCGCTCTTACTACAGTTGAACCTACAACTCCAGAAGCCACCACGGTTGTTGCAGAAGAGGCCCAGAAAGTTACAGTAACCGAAAACAAAGAGCAAAATGACGACAACGCTTCAACCGCACACGCAGCTATTGAAGAACCAAAAACAGTTGAAGCCACCACGGTTCAAGCAACAACTACAGTTGAACCGGTCTCTGTAACCGCTGGAAACGCCAATGAGGGACAGACTGAAACAACAGCCGCTCCAACTACAGTTGAGGCCAAAATAGTTGAAGCAACGACAACAGTTGAACCGGTCTCTGTAACCGCTGGAAACGCCAATGAAGGACAGACTGAAACGACAGCCGCTCCAATTACAGTTGAGGTCACGACAGTTGAAGCCACAACGGTTGAAACAACAACAACAGTTGAACCAGTCTCTGTAACCGCTGGAAACGCCAATGAAGGACAGACTGAAACAACAGCCGCTCCAACCACAGTTGAACCTACAACTCAACAAGCCAATACAGTTCCTGCAGAAGAGGCCCAGAAAGTCACACTAACTGAAAACGAAGAGCAAAATGACGAAAACGCTTCAACCGCACACGCAGCTATTGAAGAACCAACAACAGTTGAATCAGTCTCTGTAACCGCTGGAAACGCCAATGAGGGACAGACTGAAACAACAGCCCCTGCAACACCAGCTGCTGCAACTACAGTCGAAACAACAACGGCTGCACCAAAAACCGTTGAAGAAACAACAAGACTTGAACTAGTCTCTGTAACCGCTGGAAATGCCAATGAAGGACACACTGAAACAACAGCCGCTGCAACTACAGTTGAACCTTCAACGCCAGAAGCCACCACGGTTGTTGCAGAAGAGGACCAGAAAGTCACAGTAACTGAAAACAAAGAGCAAAATGACGACAACGCTTCAACGGCACATACAGAAGCACCAACAACAACAGTTGAACCAGTCTCTGTAACCGCTGGAACTGCTAATGAAGGACAGACTGAAACAACAGCCGCTGCAACTACAGTTGAACCTACAACTCAACAAGCGACCACAGTTCCTGCAGAAGAGGCCCAGAAAGTCACACTAACTGAAAACAAAGAGCAAAATGACGACAACGCTTCAACGGCACATACAGAAGCACCAACAACAACAGTTGAACCAGTCTCTGTAACCGCTGGAAACGCCAATGAGGGACAGACTGAAACAACAGCCGCTCCAACCACAGTTGAACCTACAACTCAACAAGCCAATACAGTTCCTGCAGAAGAGGCCCAGAAAGTCACACTAACTGAAAACAAAGAGCAAAATGACGAAAACGCTTCAACGGCACATGCAGCTATTGAAGAACCAACAACAGTTGAATCAGTCTCTGTAACCGCTGGAAACGCCAATGAGGGACAGACTGAAACAACAGCCGCTCCAACTACAGTTGAGGTTACGACAGTTGCAGCCACAACGGTTGAAGCAACAACTACAGTTGAACCAGTCTCTGTAACCGCTGGAAACGCCAATGAGGGACAGACTGAAACAACAGCCGCTCTTACTACAGTTGAACCTACAACTCCAGAAGCCACCACGGTTGTTGCAGAAGAGGCCCAGAAAGTCACACTAACTGAAAACAAAGAGCAAAATGACGAAAACGCTTCAACGGCACATGCAGCTATTGAAGAACCAACAACAGTTGAATCAGTCTCTGTAACCGCTGGAAACGCCAATGAGGGACAGACTGAAACAACTGCCGCTCCAACCACAGTTAAGCCAACAACAGTTGAACCTGCCACTCAACAAGCCACCACAGTTGTTGAAGAACAGGCTCAGAAAGTAACACTGACTGAAAACGAAAAGCAAAAGGACGAAGCCGCTTCAACGGCACATACAGAAGTCACAACGACAGCTAAGGCAACTACTACGGTGGAACCGGTCTCCGTAACCGCTGGAAATGCGAATGAAGGGCAGACTGACAAAACGGCTGAAATAACCTCAGAACCAACTGCAACTACGGAAGCCATCGCAACGAAAAAGGAAGAGATTGTCGCTGAAACGGAACCAGTGCCAACAACCGTTGAGCCCAGTGAGACCACCGTTGAAACAACTACTGCCAAAACAAGTACTACAACAACGCCCGAGCCACCTCCAACCGTCCCTACTGATGTTTTAATCAATGAAATAACAACCCAGGCTCCCTTTGAGGTCGCAACACAAAGTAGCCAAGACTCAACTCATGCAGAAAGTAGGGAGACAACTGTCTCGGAGTTCGAAGCAGTAAACAAACAGGACGAAAAGGAAGTTAGTAATGAACATTCCACGACTTCTTCAGCTCACACAATTGCCTCCAATACCGTAGAAGAAGTAGAAGTGACAACAAGTGAAACCAACGTGGAGACCAGCACTTTGGCCAAAGCTGAACCAGCGCCGGTTCCAGCGGAAGCCGCCGAGGAAAAAGAAGAGACCACAACGGCAGAAGCGGCGCCAGAAAACCCGGCCGAAGCAGAAACGGAGGCTCCAGAAAACTTGAAGACTGCAGTAGTCGTGTTAGAGATCACAACTCAAATTCCCGAAGCCGAAACGACCCTTGAAGAAGGAATTGCGGCTAAAATTACAAAACAGTCTTCGAAATCAAGCGAAACCACTGAATCCCCAGCTTTCATTACTGCCGCCCCCGGAACTGTCGATGAATCGAAGAGCTCGGAAGCAACTACATCTTTAGACGCAGTAACAGAGTCCGTTAACGCAATCACAACGCCCGTTTCAATACACGCTGAGATAACTACTCTGTCTGCTGATAAAATCAGTGGCGAAATCACGACGCCAGAACATGACGTTGTTAACGCCAAAGCCACCACCGCAGGCGATATCTTGACAACTGGAAACCCGAAAGAGATTTCTGCTCAAGAGGTAACTCAATCCGTTATTCAAGAGTCTGTAGATGCGGAAGGAACTGTTGCACCAGCCGCAACATCAGAAGACAGCCTAGTGTTTACAGCAAAAACAGCCCATCCAGCTTTCATAGATCAACATGAGAGTAGTACTACACTGTCAACTACTGCAAACACAAAGATTGAAGACTCGGGCGAAGTAGTTTCTTCTACAACAGTTGAAACCACTACAAGTAATGTAAATTCGACTACGGTGGAAACCAGCACGGAGCATGAGAAGCTAGTTAGAACCCGAGAGCTGGATGAACACAACGCCCATCATGAACAGAAACGCTCCGGAGGTTTCTTCTCGTTCCTAAATAAGCTCTTCTAAACGCAATACCAGTGTTTTAACTGCCTCTACTTTAGCTAAACACTGTCCATAAAATGCCCGTCTCAACCCATCTGTAATCTCATTTCCATGACTCTCAAGTTTCTGCTTCATTTATAATTTTTTTCGTCAACTTGAGACCTAATCCCCCATTTCAAATACGGTGTTCTTCCATGTAACAAGCCTTTATACGGTTATAACATATCTGACCCCAACCTTGCCCTTTCCTAGACTGCCATTTCTCCATTTCCTTGCCAGTTTTCCAAAAAAGTTGTTGTACTTTTGTTTAATTTACGAGATTTATCGTAATAAACTTCAAACCTAACCAAACCAGCATTCTGATTGTGAGAAAATCTCGAGCAGAAAAGTGAATAAAAACCCGAATTCCAGCGCACGTCAAGATTTTGCGCTCAAAGGGTTATCTATCAACACGAAAGTTGGCATTCTGTTTCCGCTTATGGAAGTGTCCAAAAAATCCGTCTCAACGACAGTTTTTTTGGACGAGGTCAGAGGAAAGGCGAAATATTGCGCAAAATGAAGAGATTTTCTATCTCGAAACTGGCTCATATGATTTTTTTCGTTTTAGGCTCAAAAAATCCGCCTTGTTCCAGACTATGTTTCCACGAAACTTCAAATAGGGGCGAGGGAAAATCTTAGAGAAATCCTCGAAATCGCAACATTTTTTAGGCGTTGTTAGTTTAGGCTTCAAACAGATAGAAGACGACCGATTTTTTATATGAAATATATATGTTCAGGTTAAGCAGGAGCCCAGCTTCAAATTTATGTATGCAATAACCATATTCTACCCCATCTTCATCATGTAATCAGGCTATCTTTGGAGCAAAAAATTGTCTTTGAGATCAAACAGAATGCCAAGAATTTTTCATTGCTTGAGCGCTTTTGTTTTATTTTTTCTTGACGTGCGGCGACTTTACGATTGCACGCCGAACCGAGATAGGCTTTTTTTGGTTGATAGAAATGGTTGGCATTCTGCAACAGGGAAAACTTTGTAGACAGATGTAAAATAAATTTGCAGAAACGAGTGTGATCCTTTTTGCAGAAGGCGTAAAAATACGGGGATGGCTTCAGAAGTTGGAGAATAGGTTGCTTTAGGTGATGAAAGGCATCTCTTGGATATATGTAAGTGTTTTTTACGTTTTTTTCGTTCTTTCGAAATTTAGGTGTCGACCATCCGATGAAGAATCGACTCGGAAACGGGATTTTAGTCCAAATTTGGGGAAAAGCCTAGACAATTTTGTTTATGAGACCTTTCTGCAGGTCTCATCAAATTTTCGCTGCTCAATCTATTTTCTCTATTCTGAAAACTTCTTTTTTAGCTAAAATTTTAAGGGATTTGATCTATTTTGACAATATTTGTCACATTTGGAGTCCATAATACATCAATTTGGGTTGGATGCGACTTTTCTGAGCGTATTTTAGTATTCTCGACGGAATCAGCTCATATATTGTTTCTCTTCTGCCTACACCAAACTTTTATATTAATTTAGGTAACAATTTAATAAAAACGTTTCGATTTTACTGATTTTACGTTGGGACATGGAACTATTGCGACATAACATCGTTCATAGGTTATGTAACGTTGTGTTAGATGGATTAGAATATCATTAGCAATATTTACTAGCTTTCTTTCGGTGCCTAGTGTAATATTAGTTGAAATTGTCCATAATTGGAGGAAGGGACAATTATATGTTATTACTATGCCAGTATCTTGTTATGCAACACCCTAAAGCCGTATTCGGAGTTCAAGAATGCGCATTCCGACATTGTGCACCACTAAAACAACAAATTACCATTTACGTTGTATAATAGGACCGAAATTTATATCAAACGATTCCAAATTATCTCAGCATCACGTTTACGTCAACAGTTAGTCGATTCGGTGTAAGATACCGTATATATACATCAAAAATCGGAATGCCAAAAGTGCCAAAAGCCCACCTCAAAAAATAATTTAAAAAAATCTTTTGTTTTCGTGCCAAGACTCAAAAACTAGTTTTCCATTTCTATCAACCATTTCGGTTCGGCGTGCGATTGTCGTCTCCCGCAACGAGAACATTTCTATGGCATTCCGTCCCAAGTGCGCATGCGCAACGAGAATTATTCTTGGTCGCGAACCGCGGTCGGTTTTGACAGTTATGTTCTTCCGAGGGAGTCCGTTTCGTGGTAATAGTAACTTTTGAGGTTAAATTTACGGTTGCGCCGACTAAATTCTTTGACTTTTAGAACACTTCGTATTAACCATGGACTCCGGCTATTCCCATTCACACAGCTTTTCAACGGACATACATACGATCGAGAACTGTATGCTTTTATTCTATAGTTTGTTTTATTTTGTTTATAGGGAACTTCGTGAACTGAAGGAGCTGTTGAAATGAATTTTGTAAGACCTTAAAATTTTTGGCTAAAGTTACGTTATTTTTTGTCCAAAAGTTTGATTTGAACATGACATTTAGTAAAATCACGGCTATTAGATCAAACGTTGAAACTTTCCGATTATTTTTTACCTTAATTTACCTCTCTGTAACCTCATTTTCTTTATTTTAGTGCCAATGCCCCGAAATGGATCCTTTTACACGATGGCCGAGCTAATGACCTTTCAGCGCAATCAAATCGCTAATCAGAATGCGCAGTTCCAGTTCCTTCAGCAGCAATTCCACCAACGTTTCCAGCAGAATACGCCGACGTTCTATCCCACTTTTTATCGTCCTCAATAATATGAACCATGTATAACATTGTTTTTATCATTTATCTTTATATCTCCTAACCTTTCTAATTTGGTTTAACATTTTCTGTTTTGTTCTTGTTGTGTTCTAACGTTTTTTTTGTTATAAATGTTGTGACATTTGGGAGAAGTTGAAATTTCAGCTGTTTGTTCAGATTTTTACCTTTAGTCGACTGAAAAACGTGATAAGATGAGTGGTCAGGCATTGTTTGGTCAGTATTAGGTGTTTTGGTCGTGGTTTGACAAATCTTTTTGGTTTTTCTTTTCAAGGGTTTAGTCGAAAGGCGTTTTAGGTAATAAATTAGATAAGGTGGGCAAACAGGCAGGTAGTAAGACCAAAGGTCATCTTTATAGTGTTTACAGAGAAGGAAGAATCAGTGTTGGTTGGTAAGTTAAATTGCAAGTTTGTTTTGTTCTAGGTTTTAGGTAATAATTCTATACCAAATCCGACTTTTGCCTAAAATTGATGTTTTTTACCTCGGAACCGCGATGAACAAGTCGGTGTTGTCCTCTGACGTAAACTACTTCCGAAACAATTGCGTTTATTCTCTCGGGGCCATCGAATGCCTAGTATAATATCTTGATCTCAAAAAGCCCCGATAAAAACGGGCGGTGTCTCTCCTATCGAATGGATGATCAAAGAGCATACAACGCGCTTTTCTTTTCTTTTTTTATGGTCAATATTTGGGTGTCCCGATACATTTCGAACGTTGATTGCCAGCAGGGCATTCAATCTCAAATTTTCTGGTTCTTGAATTAATTTAGGTGGCAAAGATTGTCGTTTTAAGAGTGAAAATGTTTCGGGATTTGAGTGTTTGTTTGCTGCGTTCGGACGGCACAAAGTCCAGCCACGTGTGTGCATTCGAGAGAACGCAGAAAAGAGAGAGAAATTGGACTTTTTTTTACTGAAAACGGGAATCCCTTCTTTTCTGGCCTTGGCTTTTTTTGTATTTGCATTTTATGTTCTAAAGAGTACATCTGAGATTAGTTGAAACTGTATTTCATTTGCTCTAGATCGCATGTTTCGATATTATACTTGACATAAACTTAATTTTCCTAAATTTGTCTTTTTTTTTGCTTTTTTTGTGCGAAAAGGCATTTTCTTTTCTACACTTTATGTTTTAGGGTATTTTCGCGCCATAATAAATATTATTTTTGCCATTTCCAGCAGTTTACACTACCTAAACTGTAGAAATTGTGTGTTTTAGAGAGATGTTGACCGGTCGAAATCTCCTTCCACAAATTACGCGTGCCCTGAGACCGGCTCGAACATTGACTGCGGGTGGGAAGCTACAATTTCGGCCCGATTCCGATAATGTTAATCCACCAGCCGTCACGCAGCTCAGTGAAGAAGAATTTGCTCTCAAGGATACGGGTAAGCGAGCTCAAAGAATTCAATATGTATTTTGCAGTGAAGAAGTTCTCCAACGATGTGATCAGGCCGTTGGTCCGTGAAATGGACGCCTCGTCGAAGATGGACTCGCGTGTTATCCGAGGGACCTTTGATAATGGGGTAAGAATTGATGAATTTTCTGTTTTACAGGTTCAAATTGCTCTGCGGTCATTTTTGGCTTTAGTTTAGATAGGGATTCTCATTAAATTTGATTGCTAACTGCAAAAAATTTTCAGCTCATGGGAGTCGAAATTCCGGAAGAGTTTGGAGGAGCCGGTGCCCCTTTCTTTTCTGTCGTCCAGATCGTCGAAGAACTTGCCAAAGTGGATCCGTCCGTCTCCGTGTTTGTTGACGTCCAAAACACCCTGGTCGTCCCTCTGATCCAGGAGTACGGCACTCAAGCCCAAAAGGAAGCCTACTTGACCAGACTCCATAAAGATTGGGTTGGCTGCTTCTGTCTGAGCGAAGCTGAATCCGGCTCCGACGCTTTTGCTCTGAAAACCACCGCCAAGCCGGATGGAGACGATTTCCTCATCAACGGCACCAAATTGTGGATCACCAACTCGAGCCACGCCGAGTTGTTCCTGGTTATGGCCAATGTGGATCCGTCCAAGGGATATCGTGGAATCACTTGCTTCTTGGTGGAAAAGACTGCCCCAGGATTGAGTGTGGGCCGCCCCGAAGACAAATTGGGCATCAGAGCGTCGGCCACATGCCCAGTTAACTTTGATAATGTCAGAGTACCCAAGTCGGCGGTTCTCGGAGAAGTTGGAAAAGGTGAGGATAAAATTTCATTTGGGCAACGAGAGAAAATGAATTATAGGTGTATTAGTGCGCAACAAATTGCACGTTACTTTTTGCTGAGTCGAATTTTTACCCAAAATTTCATTTTCAGGCTACAAAATGGCCATCGAATGTCTGAATGCGGGTCGAATCGGGATTGGGGCTCAAATGCTGGGACTAGCGGAGGGATGCTTCGAACAGACCATTCCCTACCTCCAAGAACGCAAACAGTTTGGCCAACGTCTCATCGACTTCCAAGGAATGCAGCATCAGATCGCGGATGTGGCCACCGACATTGAAGCCGCTCGCCTTCTCGTCTACAACGCCGCCCGTCTCAAGGGCTCCGGCCAACCCTACATCAAGGAGGCTTGTATGGCCAAACTCTACGCTTCGAATGTGGCCACTAAAACAACCTCAAAATGCGTGGAATGGCTGGGCGGAGTGGGATTCACCAAGGAATTTCCCATCGAAAAGTATTACAGAGACTGCAAAATCGGCACAATTTACGAGGGAACCTCTAATGTTCAACTCAACACCATTGCCAAAATCATTGACAATGAGTTTAAACAGTAGAATTAAAGATCTTTTAGCAAGTTAATTAGTGCCTTAACGCATGTAAAAATAAATATATATTTCTTGTTTTTATGGCGGGAACTTTGATTTCTGAAAGTTGCACCGAAAATGTGGGTTGAACGCAAATTTTCGCGACAGCACGAGTACTATCACTTCGATTTTTTTCGTTGAAATTTGGCGAAAAAATCGAACTATTTCGGGTCCAAAATATGTTGATCGGCCGTGTTGGAAATTACCTCCGAAGACTTGAGCACTCAAGTCTATTGCCCAAACGCACTGAACATCAATTCAGAAGGGATTCTGGAGCTCTCCCGCCGCCGTTGACCCAGCTCAGCGAAGAAGAACATGCGCTGAAGGAAACTGGTAGGTATCTGAAATTTTTCGATGAAAATCAAATCTCTCTTTTTTTGTGTTACTGTTTTATGGGTTATTCTTTCAAGTTCGAAAATTTGCTCATGATTTTGTCAGGCCACTCGTCCGTAAAATGGATGAAACTTCAAGCCTGGATCCAAATATAATCAATGGAGTCTTCGAAAATGGGGTCAGTATTTTTTGTTTTTCATGAGGGTGCACATACAGCGAGGGACCTGAAAAACGTACCATTTTGCTTCTAGGAAGTATCCAAAATGTAGCAAAATGCCTCCCTCTCCAAGTGAAAAACTCCGATTTCAAAAGGCGCGCCCGCTCCTTTTGTGAGGGGAAGGGCGCGCAAAATGGTACGTTTTTTGCCACTGGATCAGGTCCTTCACTGTATACTGCTGATACATCCTTAATATTTTCATTTCTTAGCATTTTCTTACTTAAACTAGAATTTCAGCTGATGGGAATGGCGATTCCGGAGAAATACGGCGGTTCGGCCGCGTCTTTCTTCTCTGTTATCCTCACCGTCCAAGAGTTGGCCAAAATTGACGCTTCGGTCGCCCTGTTCGTGGACCTTCAGAACGCCCTGGTCACACCATTTCTGTTGGAGTATGGGAGTCCCGCCCAACAGGACCACTATTTGCCCAAGCTGAACAAGGATTGGATTGGCTGCTTCTGTGTGAGTGAAGCCGGTTCCGGATCCGACGCGTTCGCCATGAAGACCACCGCCAAAGAGGATGGGGATGATTACGTGATTAACGGGCAGAAAATGTGGATCACCAGCTCGGGGCACGCGAATCTGTTCTTCGTCATGGCCAATGCGGACCCAGCAAAGGGACACCGAGGGATTACGTGCTTCTTGGTGGAAAGAACAGCCAAGGGGCTAAGTGTGGGGAAGCCGGAGGACAAACTCGGCCTGAGAGCATCGTCGACCTGCCCCATCAATTTTGATGACGTCAGGGTCCCGAAATCGGCGATTCTGGGGAAGGTCGGGCAAGGCAAGAGTTCTTTCGCAAAATAATAGGTTCGATAAAGAATTCTGGAAATACATTTTCGTTGTAGAACAGTCAAGATATCCACGGACACGGTAATTAGAATTTATTTCCCTTTTCAGGCTACAAAATCGCGATTGGCGGGCTGAATCACAGTCGGATTGGGATTGCCGCTCAAATGTTGGGGTTGGCGGAGGGATGCTTCGAACAGACCATCCCCTACCTCCAAGAACGCAAACAATTTGGCCAACGTCTCATCGACTTCCAAGGAATGCAGCATCAGATCGCGGATGTGGCCACGGACATTGAAGCCGCTCGCCTTCTCGTCTACAACGCCGCCCGTCTCAAGGACGCTGGATTGCCCTATATTAAGCCCGGAGCTATGTCCAAGTACTATGCGGCCAATGTTGCGGCCAAAACGACCTCAAAATGCGTGGAATGGCTGGGCGGAGTGGGATTCACCAAGGAGTTCCCGATCGAAAAGTATTACAGAGACTGCAAAATCGGCGCCATCTACGAAGGGACCAACAATATTCAACTCAGCACCATCGCCAAGTTGATTGACACTGAGTTTAGACAGTAAAGAAGTCTTGGAAATGTTTGTGGGAATTGAAAGTGGGATGAAATCGTAAATCGAATAATAAATTTTTGGTTGATTTAGGAAAAGATGGCGAGTTTTAGAGCCGGTTTAAGAGCTAGAGGCGTATTTTCACCTAAACTCGCAGAATCTGACCATAATTTGGCACAGGTATTGGACTGTTTTACTGATTACAAGAAATTTTTGCTCCGTATGATGACTCCATCTGCAGTTCATGTGCAATATCCGCATGTCTTCTTGCAAGTATTGGACATCATGTTCATGTAGGTCTGAAAAATGGTATTTTTTTGTTTGATCAGCGGTGGAGAGGAATGTTATTGCGTCAAAAATATGAAAGGAATGTTATTGCGTCAAAGTTTTTGAAAAACATGGAAAAATTTGTATTCCACAATGTTTTCGAATTTCAAGTAGCGAAAGATTGAAGTTGAGAAAAACAGCAGATTCTTCGTACCGTACGAACACCCAAAATCTTTGGCTTCATGTGTCATAAGTCAGGATAAATTCGAGAAAACTTGTCTATTGTCTCTTCAAAGACGTGGTCAAAGTCATGACCAGGCACACGACCAAGTCCGAGTTGGTTAGGTTAAACCACGAAGAGGTGGATTAATTACAAAAAAGCTTAACTTCCATTTAACACGAACTTGGTCGTCATGTTTATCATGAACTCGATCGCAATTTAAAAAAAGTGACGTTAGACAAATCCTCTCACTTAAAAATCTTTAGCTGAAAAGGTAAGCACCCTAATACGACGCTCAGATTTTGTGTAAACGATTTTCACGGCCGAGAAAGTGCGCGAAACGCGGAGAGCGGTCGTAAGGAAAAGCACTTCTTGGCCATAATTTTGCCAGTTTTGTGTGGAAAACCTGGTTTTTCTGTTTTTCACGCTATAATGCGCAAAAAAGTGTCACACGCCAACGCTCGACCCAAAAATCTCGGTCGTTTATGCAAAGCGGGAGATAGGAGTCTCGTATAGGTGTTAGGAAAATTGTTTCTAAATCTCTGCCATGTTTCATCAAAATCTGAGCGCCGCACTTGGGTTACTTCTCCTGCAAAAACAATTTATGAGTCCCAAAGTTTTGGGCCTTCATCCGAATTGAAGCATCATTGCAGGCAATCTTGAGCTTTCGCATGAATTTCTCCTATAGAGGAGTTCATGATACGCCCGGTTTGCACTCTGCACAAACAGTAACTTACATTGTCCAAACACAGCTCATATTTCGCGGGACAATTTTGCAGGGTGTCCCTGCAAGTCGAATCCGGGTCTTGGCAGAAGTTGCACGTCTTTGCGCACTCTTTTCGCATCATTTTCTCATAGGTTGGATGGAAGCATATCGTGTGCCGGCCGAAACAATCGTAGTGAGTATCGACACATCCTAAAATACTGTTGTATTAATAGTTTTAAGCTTCTACAAAAATCGGTAATACGACTAATGACACGTGTTATCGGTTCTTTGTAGGGCATCCCATCTTACCGGATTTTTTCCGAGTAGTCGGCTGCTTTTTGGTAGTGGTTCTTTTCGTTGTCCTATGGGTGGTCGGCTGCTTTTTGGTAGTTGTTCTTTTCGTTGTCCTATGGGTGGTCGGCTTTTTTTTGGTAGTGGTTCTTTTCGTAGTCTTATGAGTGGTCGGAATTTTTGGAGTTGTAGGTGTTGTTGGCGTGGTCGTAGGAGTTGTAGTTGTCGTTTTGGTTGTCATGGGGGTTGTTGGAGTTTCAGGTGTTGTAGAAATTGTTGGCGTAGTAGGGGTTGTCGATGTTGTTTGCGTTGTAGTTGGTGTAATACTAGTTGTGGAAGTCGTTGGCGTAGTAGTAGTTGTAGGAGTAGTTGGAGTAGTAGACATCGTAGGAGTCGTTTGCGTAGTAGTAGTCGTGGGAGTCGTTGGTGTAGTTGAAGTTGTGAGAGTCGTTGTCGGGGTTGTTTCAATTACGGGGGTTGTCGTCGGCGTTGTTGGAGTTGTGGGCGTAGTAGAAGCTGTACTCACAACAGCGTTAGAAGTTGTAATAGAGGTTTGCGCAGTGGTTGGCATAGTCGGCGTTGTTGGAGTTGCGGTAGCCGCAGTCGGTGGAGTACTAGTCTCTGAAGTTTGCTTTGTATTCGTCCCTGTTGTCTCAGCAGCAGCGGACGTTGCGGTTCCTAGAGTACCCGTAACCTCCGTTGTGCTTGAACCCAAAGCTGTTGTAGCTGTGATTTCGGTTGCCGACGACGACGCTGGTGTTGTGAAGGGAGTAGTTGTGACTCCGGTTACCGTACGTCCAGTTGTGGTAAAAGTTGTTACAACAGAAGAGGGCGAAAGAGTGGTCCCGACACTGGTACTGCTACCGAAAGTCGATGTTGCAGTGCCAGGGTTTTTGTCGGGACTCGAACTTGTTTCTGAAGTCGAGGTAGAGTCGGAAGAAGTTGTTGAGCCCATTACAGTGGTAGAACCGGTGACACTACTCGCTGTAGACCCTGTTCCAGTTGTCGCAGTTCTTTCCGTTATCGTGCTTCCGGTTATGGCTGTAGAAGTAGCGGAGGTCAGCCCCGTAGAGCTAGTGGTTGTTTCATCCTCATTCTCGCAATCCTCGGCATCCGTATTTCCGTCGGATCCTAAAACCCCGTGTTTTTGACAAAAAATTCTTCATGTTTTGAATGAAAGGCAACAGAACGACATGTAACATATCGACGGAACAGAAAGAACCGATTAACACAAGTATAACGTTGAACTATGCGTAACACATTGAAAACTAAATGGCTGACTATTTTTTTAAACTCATGACTTCACTGATTACAAAACTGAGTCTAAAAGGCAAAAAGACTTAACCTACCTCCATCATCCGACGCGTCCGTCGTTGAACCAGTTGTTGCGGTAGTGGCCGTTTCAGCAGTAGAACTCTGGATTGTCTGTTCGGTAGTACCCCCGGTTGTGTGTTCCGTGGTGCTCACGCTTGTGTGCTCCGTGGTACTCGCGGTTGTGTGCTCCGTGGTGCTCACGCTTGTGTGCTCCGTGGTGCTCACGCTTGTGTCATCTGTGGTACTTGCGGTTGCACCCGACGGAGTTGTTGAAGAATCCGGATTGTTTGTAGTTGTCGTATCCAAATCTTCGTTATCGCAATCCTCTTCGTCTGGACTCTCAGCCCCACCGTCCGGCTTGTTCGAGTCACTACCACCAGCTGTGGTGCTGGCGGTAGTTCCAGTTGCAGCAGTCGCAAAAGTGGTAGTTTCTGTTGTTATCGAGGTCGTGCTTGTCCAACCGGTGCTTGACACAGTCGTAAAAACAGTAGATGTGCTTGTTGCTGGCGAGGTTTGGGGAGGCTCTTCATTGCATAAATCGTCATCCTACAACATCAATTATTGGCTCAAGTTTACATATTAAATCAACTGTCATCTTCAACCACAATACCATCTCTTCTTACTTACGTCATCCGATGTAGCCCCACGCACCGCCGCCAACAAGCAGAGCACCAGCAGGAACTTCATCTCCATAATGCTGATTTAGGACCGTCTCTCGATTAAATTAATGAAAATTTTCAATTGTCGAACATGACTCCCTCAGGTTACATGTGTTCAAACAAGTCGAGAATAGGCAAAAGTTTTTAACGTAAACGTTTGTCGACAAACCTTTGAGGCCTACACACCTTGCAGGATTTTTGTGTTTGGATTGCGTTTTTTGAATGACGGAGTTGGTAACAGAACACAACTAACCAAAAGTTTGTAAGAATATAAGCACCAAAAAAACAGCTTCCGTTTCGTTCAAAACGTTCTTTTTTATTTTCTATCTAGGATACCAGTAATATTTCTAGAAAACACTTTAAAAATACACGCAAAGATATAGGAATGTGATGCCAATTGCTGCCAACAAAACGGTGAGGACTTGGTTCAGGATCTCCGGCATCTCCTTGTCTTCTGCGCTGAACGGTTCCACGCCCATCGGACGTTGTGCCGACGACTTGTTCTTCTCCATTTCGCAGATGGACGCAAACGATTGAGCTGTGAGGCCGGTCGGGATTGGGCGCATAAGACAACATCTATAATTGTGATGAATCGGCTCGCCGCTGTTGTGATGATAGGCGAGCAGGCAGGGGATCGACTGGAAAAGGGAGCTGTCCACTCGATAAAGGCCAAAGTTTTCGCGAATCAGGAAATGCCAGGACCGATCATCCCAACGGACCGAGAGAACCAGCTTGAGGAACTGAAAATGGTACAATGAGCTCAAGAAGTCCGGGAATTCAATTTGAAAATCGCGTTGCACTTGGGGTACATCCTTTCTTATGTTAGCCAAAAAATCTAGGATAATTTGTACTTCGCGAAACAACTCCTCCCTTAAGATCTTACCCCATCCCGTTTGTCCATCGCCGACCTCAGTAAGTAATCTCCATTCTTCTTCAGCAGTCTGTTCGCCTTGTACTTGGAGAGTCGGCCGTGGAAAATATCCAAATCGCGGACTTGGTCCAACCAATGAGGAGCATTGAATTTCTTCTGGGAAGCTTGTTCATCGTAGGCGAGCTGTTCCGCAGCTCCAGCAATTTTTCCGGGCGAAAAATCTGCGGTGCACGATGGCGATGTGAACGCTGACCCAGGCTGAAAATGGTTGTTAAAACGGTTGTCCGGATTTTGATAAAATTCGAAATTCGTTTGCCCTGTAAAATTTCATCATTATTTCGATTAATGAAGATGCAAATCGTGTTCCCAGTTCAAAACATAGCTGAGTCACAAGTCGGGATAATGTGATCAACTTTGTACTATTAGTTTAGATGTCCTAATAGCGAAAAAATGACTGTTAAATTAGTCTGGATCAAAACAGAAACTCGTGTAGAAAATTATGTAACAGACTTCACTCAAATTTCCTACATAATATTAGGTTGATGCAAAAGGAATTGCGGATTTTTTAATTTATTCGTATTTTTTTATAGGATAGCTCAATTCAAAAATGGAAAAAGGTATATAGTAGTAAATTTTAAGAGGATTTTTTCTGTATATATGCTATTCTTATAAAAGTTATCAAACGTTACCATAAGTTACCACGAAGGTACCCTAAACATGTTAGTATATTTTAAACCAATTTTTTACATATTGTTTTGCGGCTTTATCCATTTTTGAAAATATTTTGATAAAATACGTTATATTCTATCAAAAAACAAAAAAAAACCCCATTTTTGGCAAAGCGTTAAAACGCTATCCCAAAAATTCAAATTTCAGCAAATTTTACAAATCGTGTCATATCTTTTTTTTAATAAGTCCAAAATAAAAAATTCTTTTTGCTTTCGATTAGTAACAACATTTTTAAGGCTTTCGTGAAAAAAAGACATCAAAATCTTGAATTTTATTTTTTTTTTCAAAAAATGTCAAAAAAATAAATTTTTTTGATTTTGATGTTTTTTGTCACAAAAATCTTAAAAATGTTGTTACTACTCGAAAGCAAAAAGAACTTTTTATTTTGGACTTATTAAAAAAAAGATATGACACGATTTGTAAAATTTGCTGAAATTTGAATTTTTGGGATAGCGTTTTAACGCTTTGCCAAAAATGGGGTTTTTTTTTGTTTTTTGATAGAATATAACGTATTTTATCAAAATATTTTCAAAAATGGATAAAGCCGCAAAAAATATGTAAAAAAATTGGTTTAAAATGTACTAACATGTTTAGGGTACCTTCGAGGTAACTTATGGTAACGTTTGATAACTTTTATAAGAATAGCACATATACAGAAAAAATCCTCTCAAAATTTACTACTATATACCTTTTTCCATTTTTGAATTGAGCTATCCTATAAAAAAATACGAATAAACTAAAAAATCCGCAATTCCTTTTGCATCAACCTAATATAAATGTCCGGCGTTCGTACCTAGGCCGCATGTCGATTTCTCAAAATTTTGGTCAGAAAAAACCGACCCATGCAACGATATTAAAGAACGTGAAGTGAGGAGAGCGGTCAGAAGAAAATGTTTTAATAAGCAGGCAAAAAATGTCGAATGTAAATCCGCCGTTAATATCAAAATTTGGGCTTTTCTGCAAAGCGCGACGTGTCGCGTCAAGATTTTGCGCTCTACGAATTGTCTCTCAACACGAAAATTGGCTTTTATCAAAAAGGTAAAATGATCAGTCTCAACGACGGGTGTTTTGAACAAGGTCGGGGACATATTGCGAAAAATGAAAAGATTTTTTATCTAGAAACTGACTCATTTCGATTTTTTCGTAGGCTCAAAAAATCCGTCTTGTTCCAGACTATGTAAGTTTCCATCATGTTTCAAATAGGGACAAGCCAAACCCTTAGATAAATCGTCAAAATCGCAAAGTTTTTAAGGCGCTGTCAGTGATGGCTTCAAACACATCAACGACGATTGATTTTTATAAAAAATATGTATGTGAAGCAAAGTTTGACATACCATGGATCTCGCGTGTGCTATGCGAAATAGCACTTTACGAAAATATATATAATCAAAATTTGCGCCAATTTCATGAAATCATGGCGTTTTGAGAACGTCTTCTGTACGGATTCCCGAACGTTCTTTATCTCCAAACTTCCTTACCACAATGCTTTGCCCACTGATCACACAATCGGCCAGCTTCTCATCCCTTTCGCGTACAGAGGCCCCCATCCTTCCGTTCTTCTCGCTGAATTCACGTTTATCCGCCAGTTCGAAGGGGGAGAAATCGGACAAACGAAAGGAACCACCGGCAGCGGTTAGAAAGAATGAAGAATGAGATAGGGGATAAATTTTGGAATGCTGTTGTAAATCACAGAAATAGAGTGAGAAAATTGGGGACAATTCGAATAATAAAGCGTTTTTTAGAATACTTCAAAAAGCTTTATTCCAATTCCGTGGGGGAGATGCTGAACGTGCTCAGCGATAAAACTGGGGACAAATTTGGACAAAACATTGCACAAAAGATCAAATCTTTAGGCGGCAAATTGCAGAAGATATGACAAGTTTTTCTCTGACCGCTCTCCATTTTTTGCGGGCTACCTCAACGGCAAAGACTACACAATATTATATTGGCTGCACGATGTGAGGGAAACAGATTTAAAAAAATTTTTGACCCAAAACATTTTTTTCATATCCAAATGGCAAAAATAGCGCTTTCCCCAAATTGAAACCAAAAAACTGAAGCTCAAAAATAACACCCCCAAACTGATTTGTTTATGCAGAAGGGGGGCTCAGATTATTCCCGCGAACAGAAAATATTGCTTTTGAAATTCCTAAACTTCCGGTGCGTTAAGCTACTTTGACCATTTCCCAAGAGAGAAATTACGCGAAATTTTGAATGTTATCAAAAATATTCAAAAAAGTTCAAACTATTAAAATATGAATAAAACAAATTCAGTTATTACTATTATGAAAGGGAATCATCATCCTTTCTCCCTTAGCTCAATAACACGTTTTCAAAAAGAGCATTAATCGGGGTGAAATCTGAAAAAAATCTTCAAAACGAAGACGTTTTTCAGTTGTTGTTCTTTTGAAAATTTTTCGTCTTGAAGCTGAAAATAAAACCAAAAGATAATATAAAAACTTTAAGTAAATGTATTCACAATGATAAGCCTTTCAGTAGAAAAAGTTTGCAGTAAAACAAAAACTACTCGCCAAGGTGTACGCATAAGGTATACGCAGAAACCACACCGATTCTTTGTTGGGAGAGCGCTAAATTTTGTGTGCCGCGTTTGAATCGAAGGGTTCCGCAGCATGCATTGGGCTCGCAAATCGCGTCAAAGTGACATAGATATAAATGAAAAAGCCTTTCAAACGGTCGGACATATCTACTCGCATAGGTTTTATAATAAATTCACGTGATTCGTTTCGTCAAACATATTTTTGATCTTTTGAGGCGAGAAAAACATAAAGGATTTACGAGGGAATGATCAAAGTGCGACGCACGTTAAACTGAGGAGTCCGGAGACCGGAACGCCTTGTCGTTGCATGCATGAGGGAAGGAACAAAGCAAGCAATAGCTAAAATTATATGCTGATTCTTTAAGTCTCCGCTAAGCCTTTGCCGGTCGTCCGCCGAGAATCCAACGGCTCTTTCAGGCTCCTGCCACAATCTGTTTTGGTCACTACCTTCCCTAGCTCTCGTATCGGTGTGATGACCCGAACTGTCGTCATTCCGGAAGATCGACCAGCAAGCCGTACCGAATTTCAATATCAAGGCTTTGAACACTACTTACTAAGTTTTATTTAGTTATAATCAAATTTACGGTTTTCTGAAAACAAACTGTTGTCAGCCGAAGCATATTCTTCCGGGGTAACAGCTTTTGCAAGGGCCTTGTTAGTATTTTTCGATTTGCAGCAACGACTGCAACAGTTAATTAAAAAATCGTGGGTTTCAATTTTTTTATTTAACCATTTACACAATTGTATTATCTCTGAGAATTTGTCTTTTTTTAAAGGCCATGGAGCAATTTTATCGCCGTGTTTCCAAGTCTAATATTACATTAGACTAGGTGTTTGCTTCCGCCCAAAAGCATATTGTGCCATAATTCAGCCTTCTTTGTTTGATTTCCTTTATGGGGCATTTGAAAAATTGTGGCTTTCCGCTTTGAACAAACAGCCAGTCAGACGTCGTGAATGGGTTTGCAGACCTTTGAGCCAGACTCCTTTGGATTGTCGGTATACCAAGGTGCAGTACGAACTCGCGACTTGCTAATTTTGTTTTCCTCTTTTCCCGATTTTTGATTGAGTTTTACCGAAGTGCGTCAGTATGTTAAGCGTGTAATGCAAAAATTTTGTTCGAATTCTCCTTTATTTTTGCATAATGAAATTTTTCCAGTCATGCTTGGACCAACTTCCTGTAGAGCACCTCTATTTTTATTTCCTTGTTTTTTCCCCGTTTCGAAAGTACTTTCAGGAGTTCACTAGACGGGCCCAAAAGCCTTGACATGTCTGCAGAGCGCGCAGTCGCGCGAAAATCTTGCCGCAAGGCGACGAGTAAAATTAGTGGTGCACGCCGACCCAGTACAGCGCTAAATGAATTCGTTTGAAAAGGGTTGCCACTGCCCAGTGCGTTTTTCATTCGCATTATGCTGCCAGTATGTCGCGAAAAGCCACGTTACGATGCCGCCTGCACCGTGCGAAGAAATGTCAAGACTATTCGTCCTTTCTAGTGCATTATAAAACGCTTCTAATTAGATCCGCAATGCAGACATGTGTTTGTGTAGCACCAAAAACTTTTTGCAAGCACCGCTGATCTATTGCTGATACCCTTTTATCACGCAAAGGACCCCCTCGCTCGAAAGCACTACCGTAATTTGTTTTCCTGTCAAATGTTATGGCCCTTGTCGCTGATGACATTACGCGTGTCAAGAAGAAAACAAAGGCCGGCTTTCGGGAACGAAAAAAGTCGTTTAAAGGAATCGGTCCCAGAGGGCGCAGTAAAAATATTTCCATAACTTCCAGATCCGGCGAAAAGCCCTCAGGCGCTGGCGGCGAGAGGAAGCGGCAAACCGGAAACATGTTGGTCCCATGTTCCAACGCCCTTCTCACCTAGACCCTCTTTTTCGGCCGCCTTCTGAAGAGGCCATTGTGTTTTTCTTCGGGGGATCTTTTGCGACTTCTTTTCTGAAGAGGATGACTTTCGGTTATTAATATTTGAGTGATCTTACGGACATCCGGAATTAAAGTTTCTCTTCAATTGCGCGGAAGAAGGGATCTTTTAACTAGTACAAGTAGCTTCTAGTAAGCCATACTTGCACAGAAAGAACGGAAGCCCCATTTTTTCCTTGCAAAGAGATGTTTTTGCAAGACCATAGAGAAAACAAGATATCTACTCTTTAAGCTTTTCACAGAGCAATTGCAAACGAAATTGTTGAAAACACATGTCATCGACATGTGTGTTGACACCTTTTTTCCCGCTTTTCTACTTGGACTGCACTCTGCAAATCACAAATTTTTTAATTCCACCGTTTCAGAGCTTCTTCGCAGCCAAGCAAACTTTACAATTCACTCAATTAACCCGAATTTCCGTTACATATGTTACTCTTATAGTACTCGGATGTCTTTCGAATTTCGCTTTATAATTCTGCTTCTCTACAATGTTCTCGAAGCGATGGTGACAAATCAGCCAACAACCGTGCCATTCTTCGGGCCTTGCCAATTCCCGTCACCGAATAGCAATCAGCCTGACCAGCTGAAGGAGGTGAGTAATGACAAGAGCATAGGTATCCAACGACTTCTCACATGTGCTGCTTGCGAATAATTTGTTTAGACTCTTGCAAATTATCAAAATTTTAGGATATCAATTCTTTAAAGCTTCTTTGACTTCCTGTCCTAAAAACGTTTTGAAGTCCTTCACAGCAGGGAAACGGCCCAAGAACCTATGCATAATATGTTAGTTACGGGAACCCAAAGCCGTCGTTTCGGGACATAAACTCGGTTGTTAAGGCGGTTTGGTTTTGAAATTACGACTTTAACGATGTCAATAGTAAACTGCAGGAGTTCATTTGTCAAAACAGCGTTATGAAAGGATCACATAGTTGTGGGATTAAATTGTAATGAAACCCGGGATAAAAATATACCAATTCTTTTGTAAAAATTAGCTCACGTTTTGCAAGAACAAACCGCAATTTTTTCGAAATGTTGGGGAAAGTTCCAGACTTATGCGCATTGAAGACAGCTACTTTAGTTTTGGACCGGGCAACATCTCTACAAAAAAAATTTTCACGCAAAGTTACCGGAGATATTGGCAAGACTTCTTTTCACCGTTATTGCTCTTTCAATTTGAGTAACTTACGGTGGCAAAGGCCGTTCAATATCTCGGCTGCCTCTTCAGAGCGCGAGTTACAATTTGTCGCAATTGATACGTGGCTTGTGAATGACCAAAAAACGTATTTTAGTACCTGAATGTCTGCAACATTCGGCAGCACCTCAAATTCATCTGCGACTTGCATTACCAGTTCAACCAGATGAACGTTTATCCGATCGTCAAGGCCTTCGAAACTCATAAAAGTGTCTTACAAACAAATGGGAAACATAATCTTGGAATTTTGCTTGGTATGATTTTTAATTAAATCCAATGAAAAAAATTTGCTTTTAGAAAGGCTTTCAACTTTGGGGTTTAGTTCTAACGCCTTACTTTTAGTCCGTCAATTAGCTCAACCGGTATCGCCTGATTATGTAACCGAAGAAAGCGCCGAATTTGGGTGCCTTTTCCATGCACCATGTCAGCCAATGACTCCAGAGCTGGTACAAAAATACGTGTTTACAACTAAGACATTTACCAAAGTAAGTCCAAATTATCAACCCTGATTATAGACGCTCTTGCTTTCCATACACGTATATCCAAGTCACTTTGTTGCTGTCAATGTTATAATGCTAATCAAACTTCGCTTTAGGTTTTTACCACTGCTTTGTTTGGTCGCTGGTTCCCATCCGCATATTGCCCGCAGCCCAAGGCTCTCGTTGTGATCGTGACTGACGGAATTCTGGGCGATACAAGGAAATTAACGTCAGTCAACGTTTATACAGGTAAGCATAGTTGAAATAAAATTATTGTGGTCTTTTGCGTTACAGACAACCCACGATTTAGCCCATTCATAATGAATATCCAGCTGGAAACCGCGAATACACTTCTGCAAGGTAAAACATTTTCTTTTTATAGGGCCAGCGACTTTTGTCGCGCTTTTCGCGGCCTGTATAAGGAAATGTCAATAATGTTTTTTTTTGTATCATGCTGCGAAAAAATATGATTTTAATGCGGCATAATTAAGTTTCTCGGCTTTTCGTGGCAAGAAAGTGCTCATTATTTTTCCGACAAACTGATAAATGAATGACAAGTTGAAGTATAGGCGACGCACCTCAAGCCCTTAACCTGAGCGTTTTTGCTTTTAGGGGTTCCAGTTGTCGACGCAATCGCCGAAACTATCGACCAGCTCGGGTTTGCGTTCCGCGAATATTATGCAACTCAAGGCGAACCCAGGCGGCATGTCATCCCGATGTGGGCGTGGGAAATCGCGACAGTCAGTGTGGTCTTGGTGGTGTTTGCTCTGGCCGTGGAGTGGTATATTGTGCGGCGAAAGATTGCCAGTAAACGATCTATTTCCGGTGTCAAAGTGGACGCCGTCCGCTCCAAGACCCACTTGATATTCTAGGAGTCGAAATCTAATCTTTTGTACATATTACGGGTTCCGGTTTGAAAAAATCATAGAAAAAGAATAAGATATTACTGAAGCGATTGTTTTTTTGAATTATTATATATTTATTTACAATGAAACTGTTAAAAAATAATGCACCGAAAATGACCTGTATGATTTGTGTAAACAAATTTGGCATATATTCGCTTAAAAAGGTGAGGAGCTCATTTAAGCATATTACACATGACATCGTTTCCCATTCTGTTTGGTATTCCCATTGATTTCGAGCAGACTTTGCGAGGGTTTCTTGGAGAGCGCTGTGATCAACGGACTTGGGACTCCCGTTTGGCACAGTATGGATTCCGGAAGGAATTCTTCGTCCACTGAACTGTACTTCAACGGCAAGGTTCGTTGAATCAAAAGGGCCACCGGGAGTTCGGCCTTCAACGTTCGGCGGAACTGGTCACCAAACACGTAGTAAATGATAAAGTTGCAAGAGGAGTTGAGGACCACCATCAGGTTGGAGGCGTCAATGAGATACGAGTTCTCAATCGATAACATCAGCTCCAAAAAGTTGACAGTCAATGGCTAAAGAGCAGAGAATAAAGCGTCTTGGTTATTAGGCCTTACCATGATATTACACGCAATGAATAAACAGACGATCAACACAAACGTCGCAATGTCCGATCCAGAATCACTGGTTTGACCGCTTTCACGGGTATGCCTCATTATGATGACTATGGCAGTATTCAAAATGATTAAAAGTAGTACCGGACCAACAGCCATCACTATGGTATACAAGTAAGCGTAATAAAATGTAAAGTAGATCTGGAAAATAAAGGCATTGTCTACTGAGACCCCAGTAAATTGTTGATAATAAAAAAACTGACCTCGTTTTGCCGCAATTCAGTTGGACATACATCGTAACTCGGCTGAGTGTAATGGGTATTCCAGCAGTGGATCACCGAGATCTCAAAAACATGGGAAATATTGAAAAGAACGGCCAATAAAATGTTAGTCATCACCACCTGAAATAATTTTATAAAGCTTAGTCGTCATACGCGCATTTGAATCAGCAATCAAATCTTCTCCGGCTCGAAAACCCTTACCCATTTAGCAGTTGCGGGCGTACAAATCTTCTCCTTAATCCGATCACTCGCAATCACCAATATGAAACAGTCAAATGCTGCACTGACCGTTAAGAACACACTCAAACTCTGTGCGGTCAGGCCGAGAGGAAACATCAGTGGTGCTGTCAGGGCAAAGTATTTGGAGACAAACGCCGACCTTTTCCGCATGCTCTCCAAGAAGAACAGGAAGAACGAAGTGGAAATTATCGTTATGTCCGAAAACGCCAATGAGAAGAGGTAGCAATTTAACGAACTTCTCATCGACTTTCTCGAATACACAAAGGCCGAGAGGGAGTTGCCTATCAGCCCGAAGAAACCCAGCATCGGAAGGATTAGGCAGATGAGGATCTGAAAATGTTAGTTCAGTATAAGACGAAAGGCAAAATATTTGTTAAAAAATTGCATTTTCCAAAAAACTTTATAATAGTTAGGGCTCTGAAGGAACCTGCTGAATAAATTGACCACAAGATAAGCTTTTTTTGGACCCATTTTTGTTTCTACTAGTAAATTTTGAAGCTCAATGAATAGAGAAGATAAATGGTACGGCCTAGATTAAGACTAGAGCTTTTGATTCATATAAAAATTTCGGCAATTTGACCAAGTTTCCACTAGAAATCGACCAATCATTTTTCAAAAGAAATTGAAAAAAGAACTGATTGAAACAGAATGTCAAGGAGCTTCATTACTTGAGATGGTTTCTTCAATTTTTTTTGACGTGCAGCGTGGACTGCGTTTTGCTTTTTTCCGCACCGTGCGAACTTATTTTTGTTTGCGACAAAAAAATTTACTGCACTGTCTTGAAAAGTCGTAAGCTTTGACGTTTACTCACCATATTGTAGAGCTCATATTCGGGTGCGGGTTTTTGGTACTGCCCAAAATTATAACAAAACCCGCAGATCGGCAGACCATTGCATTGGCCCAACTGGATGGTAAGATTGGAACAGCTTCCGGCCAACGCCAAATCCGTGGAATTCTGCGACATCCCTCTGAAACTGCTGGCAAGTTGCAACGTAAGGCAGCAATCTCGCTACGCAAGAAATGACGGTAATCAAAGAATCAGAAATAATGAGATAATGTTCTGCTTCGTGAGTTTGTTTATATGCTACATGACTTTCTCCGACTTCCCAATCTATCACCAGAAGGGGGAAAATGTCGCCAATTTGGGGAAAATAAATATTTGATGAGCTCCGGGTACTAGTTACAAAGCAATAAAAGATTCTCCTCGAGGGACATTTACATTGAGCGAATAACGATTCCAGTGCACATATACGATTTATAGCGCAAAAAAACTGCGGAAATCTTAGCTTAATTTTGCAAGTGCAAACAAACCTATCAGCGATTTTTTTCGCATAGAAAGTACACAAAATGTGGAGAGCGAACAGAGAAAAAAAAAACGTTTGAGTGGGCATATCTGTGATAACTTTAAGCGGGAAAAAATGATTTTTTTCGTGGAACCACGGTAAAAATAGGGTTTCCGAATTCGTCATGCTTAAAATGAAGTCATTTTTTCGTTTTATTTCTAAAACTGTTCTCGAAAGCTGTCATAAATCATTGCCAAAAGTAGTCATTACCAAGGGGATCTGTCGTCCCTGACATGACCAAGCTACACTACTTTAATTTGCAAAATAATTACAAAAAATAGAACATGAACCCACAACTTGATCAACGCATTTTTGAAAATACTGCCTGCTGGAGCCTTCCGACGGAATAATATTTTGAAAAACAAACATTAACTTTCGGCGGAAATGGAAACTCGCCCAATATTCGACTGAAAACAAGCCCAAGCCCTAATGATAATTTGGATACGCAACGCTGACGCAAGAAAAACATTGGCCGCTCAAAGATGTGGTGGGCGAATTATAATAACAATACTGCAGAAAGCTTTGCAAAAGTACAAAGCTTAATTTGTACAAATAACAAGGAATGCTGCTAAAATGGATTTTAAAATCTTGACGGACAACAAACCTATCTATGGAAAGCGAAACGTCCAAAAACTTTCTTTGTCTACTGCACCAATAATAATGGGAAAAAAGATTATGTTGAGCCTATCGGAAAAGTAACAAGCACAATGTCGCTTCGAAAATCGCATTGCCGCCGGGAAAATAAGTCGCGACGCGGCAAAATCAAGTCATTTTTCGCTTCAGCGACGGGAATGGCGTTGTGAAATTGTGCTCATTGTTTTCACGACAGGTATTTTACGGGTTGCAATTTTCCCGACCTTGATTACGCGACAGAATGTAAAGAAACTCTTTTTTGTTTTTGTTTCATAACTCGTAGAAAGCGCGATTCAACAGTATTCGTACTGGCCCTTTAAAGGATTCAAAAGAGCAGCGGTGTTTTCAACCAACTACAATTAGCTCGATGTTTAGAGAATTCGGCTGAAGAGGAAAAACAAACGTGAGGAGTGAAAAGAACGGCATTATTGGAGGGAATGAACAGCGTAGCCAAAAGTAGTAGTAGTAGTAGTGATTACTCAGCATAAATTTGGAGAGCCTGTTATGCGACATACTAAGATTGGCTGGCTAAAATTTGACGAGAGTTTAAAAAATTTTCAGAGTTTTGGCGTGAGAACTTGCAAGCCTATTTGGATACTGTAGAAACCAAAGTAGCCACACAAAAAAAAATCTGATTTTCTTGTGAAATAGACCAAGTTATGGACAAGAAGAAGGGGTTTCCTTTGCCGCTCTCCGCTTTTCTCCGTAGTCAAAGGTCGTTAAATTTCTCGGATGCTATTGCAAAGCAGAGCTAAAATTTTTGGTGATTGGTATGCCGCGTATTACACGAAAGGTCTAAGGGAAATTCGAGCAACACACTTCTGAAACTCCCTTGTAAGCTTGGCCAAACGGGACCGTACACAAATCATCGTAACTTAACAGAAGCTACACAGAGACGTTAAGTTTGTCTCAAATTTAGTCTAAAAGGTCCGCCTTTCACCAGCATTTGTCAAGAGTAATTTTTATACAGTCGCCATTTTTAGCTGGTGTAAGTGCAAAAGACTAGTTCAAAATCCCAAACAAATATCGCAACAGAACAAATTGAAAAAAGAAACTTCCTAGCCACCGGATGCAAGTGACATTTGTGGATCAGTCGAAGAACTGAAAGGAGAGGGCGTTCGCGGGGTTCATCTTAAGTAATTGAAATGGTCACGCGAAAATATTATATTCCTTGTACATGTTAACGTATGAAGTATAAGTACGTAGGCCATGATTGATAAAGGGCCAGTAAAAAGTTGCTCGGGATGCCAGAGAATTCGGGTTTACAAGACTAATCCCTTTTACCTAACAATAAACCTGCCCAAAAATATCTAAATTTACGCAAGCAGCCACTTGTTTTTTGAATGCGTGCTAATTACAAACCCCCTCAAACGATGAAGCAAAGCGAACGTTTTGGCACCTTGCCTATATAACGTAATTTGTTTTAGTCATTGTGCCTTTTTACACTGTTGTCCCATCGCATGTGACATGCCGCGTTGTGGAAAATGATTTTCAGTGCAAAAAGTTTACATGCCAATGCGGAAAAACCAGAACGTATTACATTTATGAAAGTTGAAAACCATTTTTATATGAGTTTCACCAAGACAATATTAAGCGCCTTCCCAGAAGTAGCCCCCACTAAAAAAACCGAGGTTCAGTAAAAACCCGCACTCGTTTCATCAGCATGTAACTTCCAAGAAGATGCCCCCGACATATGGCATGTCAAAACAACCAAAATTTATAGTTTTTATAATTTATGCAATCATTAGTTCGTGCATCAATTAAAATTCAAAAAAAAAAGAAAAAAACAGAATTTTCGAAAATCTACGGAAAACAACCCATGCCCCGAGGCGAAATATGCCTCCACCTCCAGCACCAAATTGAATCCAGTGGGTTAATGTGCTAAGCAACGGACTTAACGTCTTGTATTACATTGATGGGCCGACGAAATGAACGGGATTAGAAGCGCGTCTTAATTACCAAGCCGGAATTCGAGTTGTACGCGTGGGTTTGAGTGGAGAAGTAAAGGGAATGCTTGAGTTAATAGTTTTAAGATGGGAGTGCTTGAAGTGAGGCGCACAGATTTTAATGAAACTCGGCTTAGCTTTAGATCTTTTTATCAGTTTGTCGGGAAAGTAATGTGGATTATTCGCAGCAAAATGTCTCCCCTCGCCACGCCAAATTCGCAGCCACGGCTCGCTGTCGCAAAGCGATAAAGGGCGGTCCAACGCGCGCCAGATGCACATTTTCTTCTCGAGAGACTGATAAATATGGGTGCCTAACGCACGCTGTGCAGAAACACACAAAGATTTTTTTTCTTAAAGTTTGCTCGACACTTTTTGTATAAGTTTTGGCATGATGATCTGCATCCTGATTTATCTCGTTGAAAGCAAACTTTCCACTAAAAATCAATTTTTTCCACACGACAATCAAAAAGAATGGCCAAAACGGATTTTCTCTCTGTCTGCCCACCGAATCCCGCGCACGCTATCGCCGGCAGGGGTTGCTGAATAGCACGGTTACCTTTTCAAAGCGCGATTTGAACGACTGGAAGCAGACCGAAGAATACACGCCGTTCCTTTGAAGATTTCGTTGGCTTAAATCGCCATTGGCAGTGGGGACACTAAATCTTTTGCTAAAGCTCACTACAAAAAATTTTGTAATTTGATTTGCACTGTGGGAGGTTTGTCTAACAAAATGCCAAACAAGCTGAGCAACGACCAACTTCTAAGATTACGAAAAATGAAAAAAAATGCCGGAAATGCGTAAAATGTAGATTTACCCAAGCCGTTCCTTCGCTTGGCGTCCGTTAAAAGTTCACTAAACACGATGGATTTATGGATATTCGAGAAAGGAAATAAAAGTGGAGGAGAGAGTGGCGTAGACAGTAGTCGTATAAAATGACTCACTAAGGGTTTTGAAATTTCAAATTGCAGGTGTGGGTGGAACGGGATTTTCGGTTTCAACACTTGACAATATATATTATACGTTCCATAGGAGATATTCAACGATTTCGGCTAACGAGGGAGCGCGCCAAAGGCGGAGAACGATCATGGAAAAAAACAGTTTTGGGCCGTACATCTCTGGCTTGTAATTTTCTAATTTAACGCGGAAAATAATGATTTTTTGGGGGAAACGTCACTCTCCAAAAACCCCATCATGCATGCTATGCGTTGAATTTTTAACAACTTCGAAGAACATCTCTGTTGTTTTTGCAAGTTGGGAATGTTGCATACGTCCTAATCCTAAAGAAATATGGTCAGGGTTCACATCAAGTTTCAATAATCTGAGCGTTGCACTCCGACGCCTTCCTTTGTAAGTTTATCAGCAAAAAATAGCTTTTTTGGCCTTTATCCCTGCAATTAATTTGCCAAAAATAAAGTTCCAAAATCCAAAATAAGCCTCATCGAGTTCGCTGCAAAAAGTCGGCTCGAGCGAATATAATTTCCATCCTCAGCTTTAAAAAACCCCATCCCAAATTCGTTGTGTGTGGTTTTTTGTCTTTGAAAGTTATTGAATTCGTGAAAAATGTGCAAAAGGAAACCCGAGCATCACATCCCAAGTCTGTAGCATCATTTTTTGGTCACGACGCAAAAATATCTCAAATTTTTTTTTCTATCTGTGAATAATGAACATAAAAACATAGCGGCGAAAAAAATAATTGGGAGCAAAGAAGTTATAATTAACAACCGAATAAACATGCAGTGAAGGATATTGTCGATGGCTAGCACTAGCGTTTAACAAAAAAATAGGGGTCGAATAAGTTTTGTTGGGAAAGACATACCGGTCTGTGATGTAGGAAGATAGAAATGGACACAAGTCAGCTCGCAAAGAAAGTACAACTAGTGCGGCTGTCCCCGGGTATTTTTTGCGCTGATGCAAAAAATTTACGGGGTGAAAATGGTGTTCCGTCTGGCCAACCCCCCTGATTATACGCATGCCCTCTCGTTAAACGGGCCGCTGAATATTTCTGCTTCAACTTATCTCCTAATTTTAAGTAAACGCCACC